ATTAAAACTACAATGAGGTATCACCTCACACCTGCCAGAATGGCTACCATCAATAAATCAACAAACAACAAGTGCTGCCAAGGATGTAGAGAAAAGGAAACTCTCCTGCCCTGTTGGTGGGACTGCAGACTGGTGCAGCCACTGTGGAAAACTGTATGGAGTTTCTTCAAAAAATTAAAAATAGAATTGACTTTTGACCTAGTGATCCCACTTATGGGAATATATCCAAAGAATCCCAAAACACCAATCAGAAAGAATATATGCATCCCTATGTTCATAACAATGTTATTTAGAATAGCTAAGATCTGGAAAAAGCCCAAGTGGATAAAAAAACTGTGGTCTATTTACACAATGAAACACTATGCAGCTGTCAAAAAGAAGGAGCTCTTAATCTTTGTGACAGCATGGAAGGACCTGGAGATTGCTATGCTAAGCATAATAAGCCAGTTAGAGAAAGATAAATATCACATATATGTAGAATCTAATGAATAAAATAAACAATGAACAAAATAGGTCCAGAGGCATGGATGCATGGAACAGAATGACAGATCTCAGAGGGGAGGAGTTGGAGGGGATAGGAAGAGATTAACCAAAGAACACATATGCGTATATACATGATCAATGGACACAGACAATAATGTGGGGAAGGCCTGGGGTGGTACAGGCCTGGGATGGGGTGGGGACTGGGTGGAGGGGGGCAAAGAGAGGAAATGGGGGATATCTGTGATACTGTCAACAATAAATTTTAAAAAGAGGAAGAGCCCTGGCCAGTTTGGCTCAGTGGTTAGAGTGTTGGCCTGAGGACCAGAGAGTCACAGGTTCAATTCCCTGTCAAGGGCATGTACCTGGGTTTCAGGTTTGATCCCTAGCCCCAGTCGGGGTCATGCAGGAGGCAACCAATCGATGTGTCTCTCTCACATCAATATCTCTCTCTCCCTTCCACTCTATCTACAAAAAAAAATCAATGGAAAAATATCTTCAGGTGAAGATTAACAAACAAAAAGAGAGAGAGAGAGAACGAGGAAATGGATTTGGGATACAGTTTGGAGGTAGGGTCAACGATACCATTTGATGAGCTGAGGGGAAGGAGGGAGAGAGAAATCAAGGATGGCTTCTAGGTTGGCAACTAAGTGTTACTATTTACCGAGAAGGAAAAGGCTAAGGGAAATATATTAGGACTTCTATTTTGGACACATTTTGTTTGAGATGTGAACTAGACATTCAAATGGAGAAATTAAGCAAGTGGTTGGATATATGAGCGGGGCTCCAGGGCAAGGCCAGGGTTGGAGATATTTGAAAGTTTTGTTGCATTTGAACGATCAGATTCCAACACTTATTCCACCCTCCTTCCATGAACTTTCCAGTAAGTATTGTAGAGGCTAGAAATTTAAAATGGTGCAGTCTCCTGTCCTTCATTACAGGACCACCTTAACCAGTTCAGGGAGTCAGACTTCAAATAACCAACATAATAGGAATCACTAGCATGTTTTATACTTCTCATGAGTTCTCTAATGTTAGCAGAGCCACTTCAGCCTACTCAGAATGTGGATACAGATGACCTCTCACTCCCCAAATCAAGACTTATATCACTCAGACTCCCACTGGTTAAGATCTCAACATCAGAATCTCTATTTAGTTTGAGTCTCATGCATTTTTTCCTTGGATGTGAAAAAAAAGGTGAAAACACATATTTCAAATCATCAGAAAAACTGTAAGGAAATTCTGGAACTTATAAAAAGAATATCAACTCTTCCCCTTCCAAATGTTGCTATTTCCCCTGTGTTATGTGATGATAATGATTCGTCTCGCCCCTCAATCCTTTCACAGATGTGAATGGTCTCCTTGTCTGAAGTAGACAAAGGATGTCTCTTGAGACATTCAACTCTCACCATCGTAAAGATATTTTCATATCTTCCCTGTCCCCTTAGGCATCTCTCATTCAATGTAATATATTACTTGGCCTCTCTGGGATCTTGGAAGACTAAGTGGTGTTTTTTTTTTTTTAATTGTGGGAAAAATTCTCTCTCATGGTTTTAATTCAACAAAGTCTTGGAAAAGGTTTTAAAAGTGTCATAGACCTAGAAAGAAGAAAGGGATACAAACATGTGAGCAGAACAGGAATCACAAGCATAGAAACGAGAATAAGAGGAGACAGAGGCCAATGTTTCCTTGCAGTTATATACCTGGGTGAAAAGTAACAATGTTGGTCATTAACCAGGAGTATTGTCTCTACCATGACAAGCAATTTACTTTAATTGAACGTTTCCCGTGAATACATTTTGTATGGTCTCTACACAACCAGAGAAGAGGCAAAACCAAGGAGGTTAAATGAATATTATGGAATATAAGTGAGACGATGATTTATAAAAGGATGGACAGAGTAAGATTGATGATGCGAAGCAGAAAGAATGATCTTTTGCACAGCAATATGTTTCCTGACTTCTATGGTCTAAATATGTAAGTGGCTGTGACATGTTGAGGGTAAACTCTGCAGTTAATCTGTGCTTTTAGTTCTCATTGGCCTCAGAAATGTCAACAACTGCCATCTGGTCATCAAACATTTCAAAGGTCACCATCCTCCCTGTAGCGTCAGATTCCTGGTAATGGATTTCCTTTGTAGATGAAGAGGACCAAACGTTTTGTTTTGGGGGGAATACTGATTTTAAGTTGTTTCTTAAGAAACAAAAGACTCAGAGAGAAACTCTGACCCTCTCTTCTTTACTGCCCAAGAGATTCAAATAGGAAAACCTACTTCGGGAGGAAGTCTTAGGATGTTTACCTTAGCCAATTTGAATCCAGTACAGTAAGTGGGGAGGCGTTAGTGTCCCATTGTCTGTGAGTCACCTAGGAAGAACGTACCTGTGATGTGTGTTCTGCTCCTCAACTACCTATGAATCCCCTGAAATCTAATAGCCCATTCTCCCCCTTTTCTCCCTTGTCCAAAATGACATATAGACCCCGTGTTGCCTTGCATCTTTGCAATTTTCATGCATATGCGAATTCCCCATGTGCATGTATTAAAATTTGATTTTTCTCCTGTGAATCTGTCTCTGCTAATTTGAGTATTAGCCCAGCTAGAAGAACTTCGAAGGTGGAAGGAAAAGTATTAATTTTTTTTAGCTCGCACACAGATATATATATATCACTGGACGCCAACACCGGACTTTTGTTCCACATGAAGCCGCATGAAGAACTGGGCAAGCTTCGCCTTGCCAAGAGCAGGGAACACTTAGGCTCAGGTTTGACATAATCATCCGTTTCATTTTCCCAAAGACCTGTTTGTCTGTGCTATCAAGGCTGGTTCAATCCAGAGGCTGAATAAAAAGCTCTTTGATCGCAAAAGTTTGGCTTGTCCCAGGGTCTCTCTCCCGCTCACTGGTTTGTATTATTTCTTTGGGTTACAATGTGAAATCCTCCATTAAAATACATCTATTCAGTGTTCTATTTACACACACCTCCTCTGGCCCCTGGGGAGGGAGTTGAAAACACATCCACCTTGATGTGTCCTTGAGAAGTGAAGGAATTGGAACAAGAAGGGAGCTGTCCCGGGCATAGCAGAGCTCCCTGGAGTCCCTAGGCACTGGTAACAGCCGGGCAGCAGGTTGGCAGTGTTGCTGCCCTTGTTATTTTTGGTTGTCATAGTAACCTTCAGCCATGGGGACTGAGATCTCCATGTTATAGATGAGGAAACAAGATCTGCACAGATAGTAGACAGTAGATCCAAGATTGAATATAGGCCACGCTCTGAATCACGGGCCACACAGCAGCGTTCCCTCGAGGTAGGAACTGAGTTTCATTCATCTTTTTCTTCCTAGCACAAGGTGAATAAACAGCTCACACGAGAGCCTGGGAAGGCAGTCCAGGGAGGGAGTGCTCTCCAGAGCAGAATTTTCTGGGATGCTAAGAATTTTTTGAAAGGGATGAAAGGATATGCAAACCACTGGCAAGAAAGCTCAGAGACTCATCTTCACAACTTGGAAATCCTTGCATTTATGCATTTATCACACCTGGTAGGTTTAGAAAATTTCCCTAGGAAACGTCGCTGCTTGCCACCACTTTTTACTTCCTTACTCATGGTGTGGTGTGGTCTTTGTTTAGACCTTGGTAGCACATTGATTAAGGCAGCAGACTTGCTCTTATATGGGAAATTATTTTTAATTGGATAGCCATGACCTTGTAAATGGGAGGCCGATGAGTCGAGAAGAAGACACATGAAACAGACATTTCAACACTGAATATATGATTTATTTTATATTTTCCACCAATTTGGTCATTTGACCTGTTACACTTATCAACTGCTGAGATGAAGTGGCGGTATTCGTAAAAGATCAGATACAATTGATGAAGATTTAAAAATACAATTAAAATAGGACTCTGTTGGTTTATAGAAATAGAAAAAAGTATAATAAATTCCTAAGAACAAGTTTTTAGTTTTTCAGACTATATCTATATGATTGATAGTGTTGCCACTAGATATATTATCAAATATATTAATATCAGATATCATGACCAATGAATGATGTTTTAATGTTTCTAGTCATAAAAAAATACATTAAAATCTGTTTCAATAAGTATGATACTTTTTGACATGGTCACTTAAATTATTACTAAAAAAAAAAAAACAGCTCTACAAAGTATCAAACTTGCTGAAGAGTAAACAGCTGGATTTCTCAGTTTAGGTTAGAAAAAAGAGTTTTAAGTTTTCCATAAAAAAATTAAACAGTTTGTATGTAACATTCAGAAACTGAAACAATCCTATAAAAGTAAATTTATTTATTATTTATTAGAACAGAAATATGGGATCAGGGTGACCTACAGAGACACAGAGGCTGTTATTGGGAGGTGGGCTCAGTTGGGTGCCTCTGTCCCTATTCTTTTTTTAATCATCACCTGAGGACATTTTTTTTTTTTTTTTTTTTTACCATTTTGGCCAGGGACCGAACTGCAACCAAGGTACATGATCTTGGCCAGAATTGAACCCGCGACTCTTTGGTCCGCGGGCTGACACTCTAACCGCTGAGTCAAACCGGCCAGGGCTCTCTGTCCCCGTTTTTACTGTGTTTATCTAGCACTCGCTCCACCACACCAAAAGCCATGTCAGTGTTTCCATTATAGGGTCTAAATATAAACCCTGGTGCTCTACAAGGAAATGCCGACCACACGCTTGAATGGAAACACGGGTAGTAGGGGTGTCACGGGTCTTCCTGTGGGAGCAGCTTCCACTTCATGGAGGATTCAAATTCATCATCAAAATTCTTCAGCTCCTGCTCCTTGGAGAGCTCCAGGAAGACCTGAGAGGGGGTAAGGAACAGAGAGAGGGACGTCGCATTGTCTCCTGTAGCTCCAAGTGAGTGGAAGGTGCACATACTTATTGTACATTTATATTCCATGGATGCCACCAAATCACCGCAAGGACCCACCTGCTCCAGGGTGGACTGAGAGAGGCTGTACTCCTCCAGGTCGAAGCTCTGTTTAACTGCAGAAGGATGAACATTAGGGGGTTGAGTGTTTTTATATTCAGATGGTCTTAGAAGTCAGCACAGAATACAAATGATAATTTTTTTAAGTAGTAAATGAAAAGGTCAAGGCATTGAGAGCTGATGGTTTAAGTACAGCACGCAGCTGAGAGCACGGATGCATCCACTAGGTTAGGGGAGTTACGCTGGGATGCAGCACCGTTTCTGAGGTCTCTGTGGAAGGGAGGGAAGGCCCGGAAGGCCTCCTTCCCTGCAGGTGAGCAGGGTCCCGCACAGGCCGCACAGGAAGAGGTGGAACAGACACGGTTTATAAAGGGTCGCATCAGAAGGTTGCAGAGGAAGATGTGTGCAGTGTGCTAGGGAGCAGGTAGTCCTCACGGGCCTCTTTCCGTCCGTGCAGTTGGACCCAAATCAAGTTGAAAACCCTTCTCCTTGACCACAGTGGACTGGGCAGGGGGCGAGAGCCCGGATGAGAGCCCAGCAGACTGGACATACGCCGCCAAGAGCACCAGGTGGGAAATACACCACCAAAGGTGCCGGGCTAGGACTGGCTGCGCCAGCCTGGGGAGCCCTCAGAACGCTGGGGTGCTCCGTTCAGAGACTGGAAGGAGGAGGCATCCCCGCGACCACGGATGCTACCCACACGAGTAAGACGAGTCTTCCAGAGCCTGGAAGCTCGAACCTGTTCCTCAGGGAAGGTGTGAAACAAGCGAAGAGACCGCCGGGCAGTGACAATGAAAGAAGAGAAGGGGGCGGTCCAGCCGGCACAGGAGAGCAGCCAGGTCAAAGGGCTCGGCTGGCAAGGACGCCGTGAGACCGGCCGCGACAGATGCACTGCGGTCAGTTTAAAGTGCAGCAGACACAAGAAGATCGTCTTAATGACCAGACAAGAGGTCAGTTTTTCAATATAGATCCCAAAGCAAAATGATAATAATAATAATAATATGCAAGTCTACATAAAATTTAATTTAATTTTTCTTTATTGATTTTAGAGAGCGAGGAAGGGAAAGAGAGAGAGAGAGAAACATTAATGAAAGAGAACATCAATTGGTTGCCTCCTGCATGTCCCCCACTGGGGATCAGGCCCACAACCTGGGCATGTGCCCTGACTGGGGATCGAACCAGTGACCTCTTAGACAGCATTCTTCTTATTCTTCTTCTTCTTTTTTTTTTGTTCAGGTAGAGTGGGGAGTGGGGAGAGAAACATCGACGTGAAAGGGACACATCGAGTGGTTGCCATCCGCACAACCCAACTAGGCCCGGGGACAAACTGCAACTGAGGTATGTGCCCTTAGCAAGAACTGAACCCGGGTCTCTCTGGACCGCAGGCCAATGCTCTAACCACTGAACCAACCCGGCCAGGGTGACAGCATTCTTCTTAAATGCACGTGTAACTGAATTTTGACTTCGCTTGTACGAATATATATACAGAAAGACACGGAAAAGACCCAGAAAGCAAGAGAAAAATCACTCCCATTACCCCACCCCCACAAAGACACACAGAATTCCTCTACTTCCTTGATAGTGTGCTCCTCAAATTCAATCTGCGACTTTAACGTGTGCATTGAACATTATAGCACATTTTGGGTTTGTCCCGGAGAGGGGTTATTTTATGCTCCGAGATGATCTGCTTTCAGGCTCTTATTTCAAAGTGCATCACTCTTACCGCTCTCCAATTTGAAGAAGGCCTGGGCCAAAGGTCGCACATCCTCCATCGGCAACTTATAGACCATCAGAGACGAGTACCTGGGCGGAGAGGAGGGAGAGAGGGGCTGTGATACCACCTGTGACCGATGCAAACGGATTCAGCATCTCTCTGGGCTTGGTTTCTGCAAGTGTGGTTGGGTGTAGGTAAAATGCATAGGGGGGAGCCATAGTAAAAAAAAAAAAAAAAAAGAAGGAAGTTCACACAGAAAACTGGGGATGGGAGTCAGACTCAGGTTAATGCCCTTGGCCACTGGGATGGAGAGGGACAGCAACAGGCCAAGGGAAATGTTCAGATCTGCCCCAGTCACCTTCTGCCTCACTTTCTTTCTTTCTTTTTTTTTTTTTTCATCCTCACCCGAGGACATTTTCCCATTTCTTTGTTCAGATAGAGTGGGAGGGAGAGAGAGGGAGAGAGAGAGAGAGAAACATCGACGTGAAAGGGACACATCAAGTGGCCGCCACCCACACGACCAACCAGGGCCGGGGACAAACTGCAACGGAGGTACGTGCCCTTAGCGGGAACCGAACCCGGGTCTCTCTGGACCACAGGCTGATGCTCTAACCGCTGAGCAGATTGGCCAGCGCTCACCTCACTTTCTCAGCTCAACACTTATTCCGTGGCCTCATCCTCCAACCAGGCCCTCACACCAGGGAGTTTCTTCAAGTTTCCCAGTTCAGGCAGAAACCTGAGTCTATTCTCCAGAGAATTTATAGCTCCCCCACGTTCCCCTCTCCTTCTCAAACTGCTCTCTTAATACAGGATAACATAACCGAGTCTCTGATTAGGAGACTAGAAATCTCTAGAATGCAAACACCAAACAATGTCCGGCAACGATTTTTAAAAATAATTAGTTTCTCAGAGCAGTTTGTCTTTCCATCATTTGAAAATCAGGAAGATTTAGATTTCAAGCCCTCAGATACGATGCCCGATATTGATGGAGCAATTGTTCTCATCCACTGTGCTCATTTCCTGTCCCTCTGTGACATGTTTCTATCGAGTCCTGGGCTGTACGACGAGTTACAACTTGGCTTTTCTCTATACTCCACTGTAGAAATATATGTTCTGACCTTGTCATTATGACATATTTCTCTTGACTATTTCCCTCCCTAACTCCTAAATTATCTGTCTTCTGCAGTAAATTGTAGTTGTTAAAAATGACCCTAAAGTTAATCTTTGTTTTTCTTTGGTGCAATACTTTTATGAGGACTGTTCCATATTGCCAGACTCCAGATAAAATTGAAAATATTAATAGATTTGAAATAAAATAATCATTTTTATAGCTGAGTTCTGTCACTTCTTAGCTGTCATGTGACCTAACCTATCTACCAGTTTCCATTTATTAAGGTCCTTGCTTTAATTTAATTTGTGAGGGCCAGACTCTCACAAATGCCTTTTTGAAATCATCTCATTTTTCACTGGGGTACCAGAGTCCACTTTAGGAAGTTTCAGTGAGGATTAAATAAGATAACCCAGATACTTCCCCAAACAGGACACACAAATGGCCAAGAGACATATGAAAAAATGCTCAATGTCACTAATCATCAGAGAGATGCAAATTAAAATGACTATGAGGTATCCCCTCACACCCGTCAGAACGGCGGCCATCAACAAATTCTCAAACAACAAGTGTTGGCGAGGGTGTGGAGAAAGGGGGACTCTAGTGCACTGCTGGTGGGAATGCAGACTGGTGCAGCCACTATGGAAAACACTACGGAGTTTCCTCAAATAATTAAAAATGAAACTACCGTTTGACCCAGTGATCCCACTTCTAGGAATATATCCTGAGAAGCCTGAAACACCAATCAGAAAGAATATATGTACCCCCATGTTCATAGCAGCACTATTTATAATAGCTAAGATCTGGAAACAGCCCAAATGTCCATCAGTAGACGAATGGATAAAAAAGCTGTGGTACATATACACAATGGAGTACTATGCAGCTGTAAGAAAGAAAGATCTCTTATCCTTTGAGACGACATGGAGGGACGTGGAGAGTATTATGCTAAGCAAAATAAGCCAATCAGAGAAAGATAAGTATCACATGATCTCACTTACTTATGGAATATAATGAGCAATATAAACTGATGAACAAAAGAGATTCAGAGACATGGAAGAGGGGGACAGACTGACAAACCTCAGAGGGAAGGGGGGAGGAAGAGATAAACCAAAGAACTTATATGCGTATATGCACAACCAGTGGACACAGACAACAGTACAGTGAAGGTGGAGTGGGGGAGCAGAGAGGAGGACATCAAAGGGGGACAAAGGAGGGACATCTGTAATAAAAATATAATTAATAAAGTATTTATAGAAGATAACCCAAGACCAGGACAGTAGCTGGCACACAGTAGGACCACAACGCGCAACAATAGCTCTCACGTCCGCTCTTCTCTAGATCACTTTCTGCATATCCAACAAACCATTTCTTTCTTTCAGATTTCCTTTTGGCTACACATGGTCATGACCACATGAATGACTACACATCAGTGAAACTGACCGGGAAAAGCTGGCATTTGATACAGATCAAAGCCGGCCACCAACTTTACCTCTCCTGCCGAGCAGCCTGGGGGAAAAGCCGCAGGATTTCGCCGTGGAGGGGCTCCACCTGCGTGGGAGTCTTCACCTTCATCTCCAGCAGGTAATCTTTGCCAAATTTGTTCTTCAGGTGCTGGATGGAACCGATGCATCTGGAGGGAGGAGGAGGAGGAGGAGGAGGAGGAGGACAAGGAGGAGGAGGAGGAGGAGGAGGAGGAGGAGGAGGAGGAGGAGGAGGAGGAGGTCATAAGAGAAAACCATGTAAAGTACAACATTTGAGACTTGTGACTTCCTACCAGCCTTTCTGAAGCCTCAGACATGGGGCTCCTGCAAAGCCAGCTCTGTGGTGGGGCCATTAAGTCAGATCCCAGGCTGGGGTCCACCATGATCCCCAGCTTCTCCTCTCTAATCATGGGGCTCCAGTGAAGAGGAGCTAGTTTTTCTCTTCCAAGAAGGGAGAAAGGGATGAAGAACAGAGGAGAGTGAAGAGACAGAGCAGGCATTTGGCGATGCTTCACTGGTAGAGCTGCTCAGGTGGTCCCAGTTCCTCGCAGCGACCCCTCTGCCCACCTGAGGGTCAGGCGTGGGCTGACACCCACCTCAGCCTCCCGGACACCATGATGGCCACGCGGTCGCACACGGCCTCGGCCTCCGCCATGTAATGGGTGGTCAGGAGGGCGCCCCGCTCCGTGTTTCTAACGGTGGCCCGGATCGCCTGCCTGCAGCGTGAAGAGAACATCTGCAGTCAGGGGGCCTCCGGGGTCATCGGAAACGGACAGAGAAGAGCATTTCAGCGGGAGGGGTGTGAACGGCTGAGATCGAGCAGGGGCGAGCGGGATGAGGACGTGAGAGCTGCTCCCCTGGAGGCAGGCTAGGAGAGGGGTTCACCGAACACAGGTGTTGTGAGGTTGTCCTGAAGGAGAAATGCTGAGCCAGAGACTGTTCAGCACAAGTCTATACAGAGGGTACAGAGTGGTCACAGCCTGGCAAAGAAAACAAATGCACAAGAAACATTCGTGACAGCAGTCAGCCCCCCCCCTTCACATCCTGATGCAAATGACCTTCTCACGAGCAGTATGGCCACTGGGTGATTGTGTCATAGTGTGTCACAGAGATGCACCATCGCTACGGACACGTCAATCAAGCAATCACAATACTCAGAGTGGGTATCCCTAACCATGATTGTTTTTCCTTTAATGAGAAATGCTTAGAAAGCAGCAGGAAAAGATTTTTTTTTTGCAAAGAATTGGCTATACTAATGATATTGAGAGTTTTGTTTTGTTTTGTTTTTTCCCTACATTAAGAGACAGTTTAAGGGAGGCGTGGAGTTGGTGGCTGTGGCCTCTGGCTGGGACGCACTGGGTGCAGGGGTTCGAGCCGGAGCCACGCCTGTAGGGGGTGGGGTGGGACTGACCGTTCCTGCCGCGGGCTGTGCGGGCTGTTCTGCTTTATAAGCTGTTACAGAGGTGGGTTTGAACCCCAAATAACAACATGGGAAGCAGCATTGACATAGGTATCAGCCCTACTGCCGGTAAAGGAAAAATAAGAGCTGTTCATCGAGGAATTATGCTTTTAAATACCCCACACAAGGGAGGAGCTCTTTATGTAGCAGCCAAATCAATGCCGCTAGGTTCACTAGGAGGTCAAGCTGAAAAATGAAGGAAACGTATGATGAATTTTTTTTTTTAATCCTCATCTGAGGATACTTTTCTATTTATCTTCAGACAATGGGAGGAAGAGAGAGGGAGAGAAAGGGAAAGAGAGAGAAACATTGACGTGAGAGAAATACACTGACTGGTTGCCTCCTGCATGACCCTGACCAGGGCTGGGGACAAACCGCAACCAAGTTATGTGCCCTTGGCCGGAATCGAACCCAAGACTCATTGGTCCGCGGGCTGATGCTCTACCGCTGAGCCAAACCGGCCAGGGCCATATTATTAATTTTAAGTTTTTATCAGCCATATACAAGTACCAGCTTTTTATAATAAAATGTCCTGAAGCTGCAAATTTTAAAAATGATTTTGCACAAAGTAAGCCAAAGCCTCGGTACACGTTTCCTGTTTAAATTTGAGGATTTTAAAAATCAGATTGTAGACTATTTGGAGATTCATGCTTAATAATTATTAAAAAAAAACACCATTTGAATGGAAATATTATTCATTACTCATTTAGCAACAATTTGGTACTTATTTCAAGGCAAAATGAGCATGAAAGTTTCTGCTCTCAGGGAGCCCCAGTCTAAGCGGAGACTGATACACTGGTACATGAAATAACACGAGGAACACTATAATGGGGTTCGTGCAGGTTGGTAAGTGAACTCATCTCACTGGGTGCAGAGGCCTGGCTGAGCTGCTTGCCTCTGTGAATTTATTTTTTTTCTTTTCTTTTCTTTTAATCCTCACCCGAGGACACTTTTGCATTTATCTTCAGATAGAGCGGGAGGGAGAGAGGGAGGAAGAGAGAGGAAGAGAAACATCGAAGTGAGAGAGACACATGGACTTGTTGCCACCCACACAACCGCAACCCGGGCAGGGGCAAACTGCATCCCAGGTTCATTTGTGCCCTTAGCAGGAACCAATCCCGGTCTCTCTGGCCCATGGGCCCACGCTCTAACCACTGAGCCGAACCGGCCAGGGCAGCACTATGAATTTAAAAGTGAACTTAACCACAAATTTGACCTAAGAAGTTGATGTAATAAGTGTGTGTGTGTGTGTGTGTGTGTGTGTGTATATATATATATATATCTATATATCTCAGTGGAAGAATTTAGATTTCATTCATTAAAAACTTGGAGAAAAAGAAAAAAAACCAGGAGCAGTTTAAGGGACGGTGTTGACGGGAGTACAAGGTCACAGATTCCCGGCAGGCCTCCACACTGGCCCTGACTGAGCGGGGCTCTCACCACATCTGCAGCTGCCCCTCGGGGTCCATGCCCGTGGACGGCTCGTCCAGCAGCACCACCGAAGGGTTTCCCAGGATGCTCAGCGCGAAGCACAGCTGCAAGGAGAGGAACAGCGTCTGGCTCCCACCTGCGGGCTGCGCAGAGTAACCCGAGCCCCGCCCCTACCTTTCTCTTTATCCCCTCGGGTAAGGCCTTCACGGGCCGCCTCTGCTGGTCCCACAGCTTGAGCGCCTCCACCAACCTGGAGGAAACATGATAGGGCCTTGCAGGCTTCTTGACAAGGACACTTGGTGGGGGGACGGGCCACGCAGACAAGGGTGAGGCACAGAGCTCGGAAATGTGGCTCTGAAAATGGACGCTGGGCCCTGTTACAATGGGCTGGGTTCACCCTTCCTCCCCCCAGATTAGTTTTTCCTTTGAAAAGATTTTAAGTACATTTCATGGTATCCAAATAGCTGTCCTAGCATAGCTTACACTTAAATTTTAGTATTTGTTTTTTTATCTTCACCCAAGGACATTTTTTGTTCAGATAGAGTGGGACGGGGGGGGGGGGAGAGAGAGAGAGAGAGAGAGAGAGAGAGAGAGAGAAACATCGACGTGAAAGGGACACATCGAGTGGCTGCCACCCGCACGACCAACCAGGGCCGGGGACAAACTGCAACCGAGGTACGTGCCCTTAGCGGGAACTGAACCCGGGTCTCTCTGGACCGCAGACCGACGCTCTAACTGCTGAGCCAAACCGGCCAGGGCTAAATTTTAGTATTTTTGATGCATTTACCGACAAATGCCTTTTTCTTTCCATATTTAAGATGAGAAAGTAGTGTAAAACTTGGAAATCACAGAAAACAGTTTCTGATCGCAAAGCTGCCCAGTGTGGTCTAGGTCGGCATTGACAGTCTCTTGCCAAGTCCTGAGTTTCCTGGGAAGGTTGTCACTCCCAACTGTCCCTGGACCCCTCCAGTAGAGGACGGTGTGTCTCCCCCACGTACCGCGCGATGGTGACCTCGGCGTCCGCTTTCCTCAGCCCCTTCACCGCCGCGAACACCTCCAGGTGCTGCCTCACCGTCAGGCTGGGCCACAGCGCGTTCTCCTGGGGACAGTACCCCAGGAACTTGGGGGCGTCCCCTCCGCTGCTGCCTTTTAGTAGCACCTGAAGAGAAAAATTCCTTTCAGACACTGACCTGCATTGCTCCTCTGGGATTCCAGGACATCTGTCTCCTTTCAAACCTAGAAGGACTTGGAGATCTTCTTGGATCTCATTGACTTGGATCACCTGCAACCATTTTGCACTGGAGGGAGGTTGTCAGAGTGTAAATGCATGGAAACAAAGAAATATTTGAGGGAGCTCTGGCTGGTTTGGCTCAGCGGTTAGAGCGTTGGACCCCCAGACCAAAGAATCACAGGTTCGATTCTGGTCTAGGGCATGTACCTCGATTGTGGTTCAGTCCCTCACCCTGGTGGGGGTCATGCAGGAGGCAGCCAATCGATGTCTCTCTCTCATGTGATGTTTCTCTCTCTCTCTCTCCCTCCCATTCTGTCTAAAATTAAAAAAATAAATGGAAAAATATCCTCGAGTGAGTGTGTGTGTGTATATGTGTGTGTGTATGTATGTATAAATATATGTGTGTGTGTGTATATATATACACAACTGTGTGTGTATGTGTGTGTGTATATATATATCTATATCTATATATATCTATAGATATATATATTTATTACTGGTTGAGTGATCCGATAAAGACTGTCTGCTGAGGGACCATTTCAGCAGAAAGATGACAGGGCACTTGCTGTGGAAAAGGCTAGAAATTCAGGGCAGAACAGAGCCTTGTGGAGGGATGATGCTCAATGTGTTCTCAGACCCTGGGCAAAGGGTGGGGACCTGGGGCAGAGTAGTCCAGGGGAGAAGAGAGACATGTGACTGCAGGGACATGGAAATCAGCTCTTGACCAGCAAGTGTGGTGAGAGGTCATTGAAAGTATTAAAGCAGAACAATGACATTGTTTATAAAGATCACACTGGCTGATCTGATTAAAGCTGATTTCATGACATCCAATAGTTGTTGGTTTTATTTTATTGTTTTATTCCTCACCTGAGGATATTTTTCTACTTATTATCAGATAGAGTGAGAGGGAGGGAGGGAGAAAGAGAGACAGAGAGAAACATCGATGTGATTGAGCCACATTGACTGGTTGCCTCTCACGCGATCCGACCAAAGCCGGGGTCGAACAGCAACTGAAGTATGTACCCTTGACCAGAATCAAACCCGCGATTCATTGGTCCATGGGCCGACGCTCTAACCGCTGAGCCAAACTGGCCAGGCAGTTGTTGGTTTTATAATTAAGACCTCACTTAACCTTTAAAATTTTTCATTCCACTCTGTCAATGAATGGTTACCTCTTTTTTGCCCATGCTTAAGAAGAAATAAAATATTGCTTTAGGGTGCAAGTGGTGATTGAATTGGAGGGTGGTCTCAACCGAACTTAGGGTTGGCTGAGCCACAAAAATCACTGAGAAGCACCCTTAATGAACACCTGCTTTCCCAGTGGTGTGACCACCACCCGTTCCCCATGGTGTAGCCCACAGACCTCCGCCTTAGGTTCCGTTTTCCACGCCCCTTGGGCATACATTCCAAATGCGTTCTTAGGGTTATCTATCTTCTGCCCTAGAATCTGGGGGGAAGTGTTCTCCATAACTCATGTTGTGTCTTTAATGAACTGAGCTCTTTTTCTGTTTGCCTGGCCTCCTGTGCAGTTGAACTGCATGGACAGTTCTGTTGACTTCGTATCTCTATTGCTCAACTTTGAGCCTTTCCTTAAAAACACTCCCCCAAGGTGATGTATCCATACCGAAATATGTGTTCCACTAACTGAGCACCTTTTTTGTTTGTTTGTTAATCCTCACCCAAGGATATTTTCCACTGATTTTTAGATAAAGTAGAAGGCAGGGGGTGGGGGGAGAGAAACGTCGATGTGAGAGAGACACATGGATTAGTTGCCTCCCGCATGACCCCAACCAGAGTGGGAGATGAATGAACCTGCAATCCAGGTACACGCCCTTGACTGGGAATTAAACCCACGACCCTTTGGTCCTTAGGCCGATGCTCTAACCTAACTGCTGAGCCAAACCAGCCAGGGCTAACTAAGCACTTTTAAAGGACAATGACTATAATTACTTAATAAAGTTTTCTACTTTTGAGAATGTGTCCAAAGAAACTTGAAACACTAAGTCAAAAGCATATATGCACCACTATATTCACTGCAGCAATAGTCAAGAGTTGGAAACAGCCCAAGTGCCCATCAGTAGATGAGAAGATAAAAAAGCTGTGGTACGTTTACACAATGGAGTACTATTCTTCTGTAAACAGGGAAGAAAATCTTACCCTTTGTGACAGATTGGAGGGACCTGGAGAGCATCATGCTAAGTGAAATAAGCCAGTCAGAGAAAGACAAGTACCACATGGTTTCACTCATGTGTGGAATTTAATGAACAAACTCAACTACCAAGCAACATAGAGACAGACTCACAGAGAGCAGGCTACAGCTCTGGTGGGCTGGCGTGTGGAGGGGTGTTGGTGGGTATGGAGGAATTGAGCAAAAAGAGAGAGAACTCATGGACAGTAGGGTGGTGTTTGGGGGGGGGGGGTTGGGGGGTGGAAGAGGGTCCAGAGAGGATTAAAGGGTGATAAAAAATTAAATTAATTTAAAAAACATTTTTATTCATATTGGGAGGGCAGTGCTCATTGAAAGTGCAAATCCACATGTTTCGTTATAAATAGATCGGTATGCATTCTGGATTCTGATCTGATATTGGACGTCCCCACGAAATGCCTTTGAAGGCATGAATGATTATCCACTTTTAGTGATCGATTCCGGTATATACGAATGTGATAATTGGTGATGTATTATTCTGCCACATTAATCACTTCCTTCATCTAATGAATCAATGAGACTTTGCTGTGTATAATATTTTAACATCTTATAAAATTCATTTTCAGCACCAGTAGAAAACATTTTCCACAGGATTCACGTACCTGTCCAGCAGTGAGTTTTGTGTCTCCAATAATCACTTTAATGGATGTGCTTTTACCAGCTCCATTGTGTCCAAGTAATCCTAAAACCTCACCTGAAAAAAAAAATGGTGACACCTAATGCAAATTGATTTTAATAGTAACGTTAAGAATAAAACATAGTCTGAAGTCTCACTATGTGACAAGTGGTCTGTGTGCTTTGTATATAGTATCTCATTTAATTGGCACAACTCCCCCGAGAGGTTGTTATCAAAGCCCTTTCTTACATACTTGGGGACAAAAGCTCTTCGGGATGAGGTTAGTTGCTCAGTCACACTGAAGGGAAGTGACAAAGTCACTTTGGAAAGCTAGGTGTTTCAGACGCCATCACCTGTGATCCTAAGAACTGTGCAATCATGTTACAAAATGGGGTCCTCTAACGTCTGCTGGTACATCCTGTTCGTTTTATTGTGAAAAATAATGAACACTAGGAAATTAATCGTGCTCATCAAATAGAAATGTCTGGTTTCGGGGGTTCATTTCAACAGAGAGCTCATGGCTTCCATGTGGATGGGACTAAGCCCCTCTCCATGGGCATGCATTCATCAGTTTCTTTAGAAATGAGCCATGTAAAAGGAGCTGTCAAGGTCACCCCACTGAAGGGTCTGAATTAGAGGTGGTGCACAGAACGGTTCTCATCAAGAACCATCACGCTCTAAGGAGGGTCCTGAGTCAACAGCGGAAAAGCCTCGATCTCCAACCTTTTCTAACACAGAAAGAGACGTTTCTTGTGGCAATTTTCTTCTTCTTCTTGGACCAACAGTGCTTCCCCTTCCTCATGTACTCCTTGCGTAGACAGCTGGCGATAATGGCTGGTCTCTGTAAATGACAAGTATATTATATCAGACCTTAATGCTCTCCTTTGGCCTTGAAAAAACTATCCTCCCACTGGGCTGGCTCCTCACTGCACAAGCCGTACATCAAACAAGACTTTCTACTAGGTGACATATTTATTGGCCATTCTTCACTCTTAGCACTTGTTTTTGAAGAGAAAGGACTTTATTTTCCCCTCCTACAAAGGAACTCAGGAACACATTATTTTATATGGCCAGTCCATCTCCCAGAACAGAAGCACCGAGACTTGGAGAAGCACCCAGCCCATCTCTCAGATCAGAAGCACCGAGACTTGGAGAAGCACCCAGCCCATCTCTCAGATCAGAAGCACCGAGACTTGGAGAAGCACCCAGCCCATCTCTCAGATCAGAAGCACCGAGACTTGGAGAAGCACCCAGCCCATCTCTCAGAACAGAAGCACCGAGACTTGGAGAAGCACCCAGCCCATCTCTCAGATCAGACGCACTGAGACTTGGAGAAGCACCCAGCCCATCTCTCAGATCAGACGCACTGAGACTTGGAGAAGCACCCAGCCCCTCTCTCAGATCAGAAGCACAGAGACTTGGAGAAGCACTCAGCCCATCTCTCAGATCAGAAGCACCGAGACTTGGAGAAGCACCCAGCCCATCTCTCAGATCAGAAGCACCGAGACTTGGAGAAGCACCCAGCCCATCTCTCAGATCAGACGCACAGAGACTTGGAGAAGCACCCAGCCCATCTCTCAGATCAGAAGCACCGAGACTTGGAGAAGCACCCAGCCCATCTCTCAGATCAGAAGCACCGAGACTTGGAGAAGCACCCAGCCCATCTCTCAGATCAGAAGCACCGAGACTTGGAGAAGCACCCAGCCCATCTCTCAGATCAGACACACAGAGACTTGGAGAAGCACCCAGCCCATCTCTCAGATCAGACGCACAGAGACTTGGAGAAGCACCCAGCCCATCTCTCAGATCAGACGCACAGAGACTTGGAGAAGCACCCAGCCCATCTCTCAGATCAGACGCACAGAGACTTGGAGAAGCACCCAGCCCATCTCTCAGATCAGAAGCACCGAGACTTGGAGAAGCACCCAGCCCATCTCTCAGAACAGACGCACTGAGACTTGGAGAAGCACCCAGCCCATCTCTCAGAACAGACGCACAGAGACTTGGAGAAGCACCCAGCCCATCTCTCAGAACAGACGCACTGAGACTTGGAGAAGCACCCAATCACCTTTAAAGGACAAAACAATACGCTGTGGACTGGACTTTGCCCTGAATTTTGTACAGTCTACTTTCTCCTAGAAGCATCACTTTGCTCGGTTTCTAAAATTCACAAGCTCTTTCTTGGCTCCTGTAATTTCAATTTCACTCCACTTGTTGTTTTTTAGTCTAAGAAAGACAAAGCAAGTTAACATGGCTTTTAGTCTGTTCCTTTGGATGTCAAAATGAGGACTCACTGCTAAAATAAAGTTATGATCCTCATTTGTGTGAATTAGAGAAACACAAAATTCGTTGGAGAATTAGACTTGTAGACAGGCCACTTTTTGTTTTTACTCATTTGTGTTATTTGATGAAAGACTACTTTGTATGTTTTATACCTCGTCAAAGTTTGGGGAATTCAAGGCATTTGCTGTTCTCTCTCTTTCCATCTGAACATCTTCGTCCTCCTCTTCCGGCTCTTCTGGGTTTTGGCACACACTGATGCTCCTTGGAGAAATCCTGTAGTCAAAACCACCCATCAACAGTTGATCTTGGGTTTTTATCCTTATATCAAAAGCACTGCATTCTCTAAATCTTATACTTGAGTAGATTGGGTAATTCATAACCCATCATAATCTTCCCTCGATACAGCGACCCCTCCCTACTTCCCAACACCCTGCATCTGTCCATGGTACTACTACATTTAATGACCACTGCTTCTTACATGTCTTTCATTCTTCTTCTCTATAGAAACATTACCTTAAAAAATATCAATGGGTAACTTAGTTCCTGTTACCTGATGGGGAATTTTAATATCATAGCTTAATGAAATAATATTTCTGGACACCCTAGCTCTGACACTAACATGTTAGCAATATATTTTCATAGGGATATTAAGTCAGAATATTTGAAGTCAGGATGTGCTCCACCCCCCCACCCCCCACCACCCCCCCTCGCCGGGCAAAAAACAAATACAAGTAAGGTGCTTGATCTCCTATTAAGCTTGGCCATGTCTTTGGAATATGGGTCAGGTTCACTCTTTTTCCTTCATTCTAGCTCTGTCCTCTTACTCCGAATATAATCTCATTCTCTTCTCTCTTTCTTTAACCTAATCTCCATACGGATCTTAGATTTCTTAAACATCTCCTTTTATCGGGGAGGTCTGCCCCCTGACTCTGGGTCAGCATTCATGGTGGAGCTGACGTTGTGTGGGAGACACACAAGGAGTAAGATGCTAACGGCCGCGTCCTTGAACGGTGCCTCAGCTTTCACGCTCCATGAATAACGGAACCAGTCTGCGGTCCACTAGTTGGACTTCTCACCTGCCCAGGAAAAGAGCAGTTATTGCTGCCTTTGATCTATCGATCATTCTATTCTTCCTTTCTGGACGAAGAGCATTCTCTCACTGCTGATTTATTCCAGTGAGCTGCTGTTTAAACTGAACTAGCTGCATGAAACTTTCCCCAGCGTTTCACTGCACAGCATTGGATAAGAGTCCTTAAGATTCAGTGCTTCAGGTCTGTTTGCTCCACTATTTATAATCTTGGATTGAGGGACCTAGATCTCTATTATGTGTATTGACACATGGTTCCTACCCCAGCCTATTCTAGCACTTGGCACTTTTTAATGGATTAATTTATGCATGAAAAATATGTTTTAAAACTTTGATCACTGAAATAAAAGAATCCAATTTGATTTCTCCCAACCGGAAGAAGGGATCCTTCCTCATCGATTTCTTTCCACACTTCCATTCCAGACATCGAAGAACAAAAAGCAAGACGATAAAATGGAAAAAAGGCTAGGAATAAAGAGATGTACAATTAGAAACACTAAAAGAAAAATGATTTCACATTAAAAGTGAATTAGGAACAATTGGACTTCTACAAAATGCATTTGGCAAAATCATTACCCATTTCCAATAATCATATTCATCAAATTGTGAAACTATCAAATTCACTCCCAATCTTGTTTACAGAAATATAGGAAACAAATATAATTATGTGATGCCATTACTTTAAGTCATTTCCTCTGATAAGTGTACAGTGTTCTTAAAAGCCTATAATCTGGTTCACTGATCTTTATTAAAATGTTCCATTTTGTAAATATTTTATCTTTGTGGGCTACCAATACTTATACATCCACCTTCATAAAAAGTTTCACTGTGTTTACAGGAATTGAAATGGTTTAGTTTAGTAAAATACAGGATGAATTTTAAAGAAGAATGTGCTCTTACAGCTAGGAATGGCAGAATGGGCTGTGAGGTTTCGCCTCCATTAAACAGAGAAAACGCAAAATGCTGCAAGAAGAAAGACAACAGGAAAAGTTTTACTTGGTGAATTTTAGCCATTTCAATGCGAATCAGCCCGCTGACAGCCCTACTGGCTTGTCCCCAGATTTCCCCGAAGTATTAGCTAAGTGTTCATTCCAAAATGTGTAGCAGGGGCTGTCTTCTTTGCTCCCAAGGTTTATGAGCCACTGTGTTTTTATTTGGAGCAACAGGATTTAGCAATCATTCATCACCTGGTGAGAGAATTTGAGGGGTCTGTGCTAGCCTCCCCAAACATTGAGAGAGAGGCAAGATTTATCCTTATCACACAGACCTTCCCAACCCTTCTGGTGCCCATTATTCCTTTCATGAGGCCCCTTTCTTTTCTATCATTTCCCCATGGATACTCTTCATTCACGTATTGTACCTCCTTTCCATTTGTGGAAGTGTACGTATCAGTCAGCTAGAAAAAAAAAAGGGTTGAGAGCTTCTCTAGAATCCTGAAATCCCTAAGATTAGAGACATTTCACTTGCCTCCTGGAGCTGAGCATGCCCAGCAGAGTACAAAGCCCAGCCTGAGTGTAAAGGCTGCTCTGTTTCTCACCACCCGTGTTACTTCCTCCCCACCCATCACTTCGGGCCAACTCTACGCCTACAGCTCAGCTGGAGTGTACTGTCCTATTTGAGAGCAGTTCAGTTGAAATCCGTGAAGCAGACATCGTCAAACGTCATGCATACTGAACATGCTGCAGGTTCCCAACCCCAAGCAAAGCTTTCACTGTTGGCCGTGAGTTCCAAGGTCACCCTGGCGGCATTACTTACATGGAAGGATAAGAGCACGAAGCCAATTAATGTGGTGTGTGGTATTAAAAACATGAAGTACAGTATGGGAAACCCAGGTAACTCCATCATAAACATGGCCACGCAGAAGATGGTGAACTAAAGAAAATAAAAACAGGCATATGAACCACTCTGAATGTCAATAGATGCTCCAAATTAAGATGGCTCATCTTGGAGATAGTTCTAATTTCCACTCCAACCTCAAAAACCCAGCTGAAATGAGCATATCTCCACTGACATTTTGGCTCGGTGACAGCCACATCCCCTGGGCCCAGAGTATCTTCATTGAGACATCACTGAATAGATCGAATATTGAGAGCATTTTAATTACAGAAAAGGGAAACAGGTGGTGTAAAGTTCAGAATAGTATATAAGCAATCATCATAGGTAAAGATTGAAATCGGTATCTGTTAGGAGTAAAGTGATACAAAGGAGACGTTGTTAGCCATACCGATGAAGAAATACAAGCATTTAATCGCCGGAGGGGCTCAGTAGAGGTACTGAAATACCAAATCCGGGGATAAGGGAAAGTTATAAGTACACCTGATGCTCTCAGACTTTTTGTTCTAAACTACTGTGATGCCTCCCTAAAAGTTTCAGTACTTCTAATTTCTGTTATAAACCACCACTTTTATGGCTGCCAGAATATTCTTCCTAACAGCGTATCTCTGATTATAGTTCTTTTCTTAACTATAAGCTTCCATTGGGGGGGGGGGGGAGAAGATTGATTTGGTTTTCCACTTATTTATGCATTCATTGGTTGATTCGTGTATGTGCCCTGACCAGGTATCAAACCCACAACCTTGGCCTATTGGACAATGCTCTAACCAACTGAGCTACCCGGCCAAGGCTGTAGAATAAATTGAGCACATCATTCAAAGCCAGGCCTGGTTCCAACCACCGTGTTCACCATGACTAAGGCTACGCTCAGGCTGCAGACTGTTTTCTATCCACATTCATGCCAGATTATTACCAGTAGCGAGGACTTTCTCCTGACCTGAGCATTCTGCCCTTTGGGTTTCTGCTTGTTCATTATTTTCTATTTACATCATCCTTCTTCTCCAGCTGTTGAAATCTTACTCTCCTTCAGGTGTCACTTCCTACAGAAAATCTCTGCTCTCATTTTTATGAATGACTCTCTCCCTTTGCCGGTTTACCTCTTGATTACTCAGTTGTTTTAGACTTTGAAAGATGGATGGTATCTCAATAACCTTCGCCTCATCACTATGTCTTAGTACGTCACTGTTGACTCAGCCGTGTGCCCTCTGAGAGCCCTTTCAGTGTTGGAACTGTCGGTGACAGGACATTGGAATAGATGCTTCTGGATCGCATATGTACTGCCTCCTCATTCAGAAAGATGAAGTGTTGCTTTATAGCATGAATTCTTAATAGAGAGCTGGAGATGTCGTTTCTAGTTTTAACTATGCTAGTTACAGAACTTACATAACTTCATGGAGATCTTCGAGGTTATTTCTTTTGCAATAAAAAGTAAATTCAGGTGGTTTCCAGGTTTCTGGCTATTAAATATTTTATGGTTAGAAAAAGTGTGGCCACTTTTAAAGAAAGACAGGGTAGAAATATAGAGAGGAAAAAGATGCACATTTTGAGCCCTGGCTGGTTTGGCTCAGTGGTTGGAGCATTGGCCAGTGGACCAATGAGTCGCAGGTTCAATTTCTGTCAAAGGCACGAACCTCGGTTGCAGTCCCTGGTCAGGTCCTGCGGGAGGCAGCCGGTCGATATGGCTGTGACACATCAATGTTTCTCTCTCCCTCCCTCCCTCCCTCTCTGTCTAATGATAAATGGAAAAATATCCTCAGGTAAGGAATAATAATAAAAAAAAAAGATGCACATTTTGAAAAGGATCCCTGGGTAAGGCAAACTTTAAATAATTTAGACTGTAATAGTAATTAATTCTACCAAGAGCAAATTTTAAAGCATTAGCTCAGAATCATATATTACACATTTATAATAATTTCAAAAAACACATACTTACGATAAAGAAGCAAAAAGACCAAAGGCCACAATGTTTTCTCCCCTTGCGAAAAATGAATGAAATTACATACATAAGGAAGATAAGAGATGCAGCATAACCGATAGAACATGGGATCTGAAAGGAACAGGGATGTTGAGTTAAAGACAAATGCAATGTAGAAAAGCACTTAGGATTCAAAACATTGTTACAGCACCGGGCCTCACAGTTCTTAACAATTCATGCCAGTGTGGCTCTCAACGAAAGCAGCTGGCCTCTTCCAAGTTTTAATTAAATCGTACCCTGACATTTGTTCTATGAATATCGTAAATTGGAACTCACCTGCATAAGGTGATTTGAAACGCTAAATATAAAGTCTTGGGAGAGTAAAAGTAATTCCAGCAAATACACAGAGAGGAACATCAGCCAGTACAGTGGGACATCCACCAGCCCCTGTCCAAGCCAGTACGCAGAAGGGAAGAGCCCCGAAATCCGCAGCTGGGACCACGCTTTGTTCTGATCGGAGACAGCAGAAACACAAATGGTATTTTAATTTCGGGTTTAGGGAAATGTGGATTACGTAAGAAAATATTCAAAACAAAACTGTCATTTGTAATAATTCCGCATCATGGCTACCCATGTTATCTGGACCAAGGGATAGGAATCGTTTCAAACATACTAATTACCCATCCAAATATTTGTGTATGTGTACCTAAATATAAATGCCTTCACAAATGTAAATGTATATTGTATCCCTTATCATCGTCTGAATCAACTACTAAATTACATATTTTAAAACAACTCAGCCAGTGATGCGGGTTGGGGTACAAATTATACCTTAAACCTTTCTCATAATTTTGAACATATTGTTTTCTATGAAAAATATTTACATTCACTTGCTGATGGTCACTGATTAGCTATATGATGCTCCTGTCTGAGACATACTTGGAGTTAAGGATCCACATCAAAGTCTCCCAGTACAGAGCAGGTAGTGCAGCTGATAAGGATTTGGTGATCTACTCGATATGGGGGTGAAGCTACGAGGAAAGTGAAGGCTGGTTCAGGTTACCGACGAGATAACCGATGCAGAGGGCTGACATGGACGGAGATAGAAAATATGAAAGGAACACATTTAAAAATATCATAAATTTAGTTTCGGAAGCGTGAAATTGGAGAGTCTGCGATGCCTCCGGTGGAAAAGCTGGAAAAAGAGTCTGAATCAGCGTCAAAGGTGAAATAGAAAGAGTCAAATCTGTGAGCACCCGTAGGGCACCTGAGATCTGACGCCCCAGGGTTCGAGGAGCTTGCGTGGGAGGACATGACATCTAACATGAACAGAGAGAGCCGGGGGTTGAGTTCTGAAGCTCTCCAACATTCAGAGATAAGATAGAGGACAGAGCAACTCCAGAGGGAACAGAGAGACGGTGGCCAAAGTGTCGGGAGGAGCGTGGTGGAGTCATGCCTCACACAGCCCACAGAAAGGAAGCGCTCATGTTTTCTATGGGCGACCTTTTACGTTTGGACTATGTTAATGCTAAAATGATTGCTAGGTACATCAGGCTAGTAGCTGGCCTTTCCCTAGATGCCTGTGGATTCAATACAAGGAAGGGACCACTACATGTGCAACACTCTCCTGAGGCAGCAGAATTCTTCGGAGAGGAACCGAGGATAAAGACCGTGGTGAGTAAACAGAGATGCTTATGGAAGGTTTCATGCACTTTGCATAATAAAGTTACAACAATGGAGCTATTCAAGGATATTCCATTGGAATGTGTAAGCAAAGCTAGTGGAAGTTGGCCTGCATAGATTAGTCATATAAATTCATCACCCTGTGATCACTACTCAGAATGTGTCTCCACTTAGGGCTACTGATCAGAACCTTCCTCTTAACAAGATGCTCTGATCATCGGGAGGCACATGAAAGACTCGTTTGGGTTAATGAGTTTCTGTAAATGAAAATTTATAAATAGATGGTCAGTTAAGCATTGGGATTTTCTTTTGATTTCTCTAAGTTCTTGAAATTTTCGAAACATAATTTCCTTTTATTTCAGCTATCTAACTTACTTGCAATGTAATTTTCAAACACTAAAAAATACCCATATTAAGTATACAGTTACATGAGTTTCGATGAATGAATATATTACTGTATCACAATCATAATGAAAGCATAGAACATTTCTATCCCCCCCTTTCCCATGCTCCTTTGCAGTCAGTGGCCTTCATTGCTGGTTACAAGGAACCACAGGTCTACTTTCTGCCCTTATGGATTAGTTTTACCATTCTGAGAACTTCACATCAATGAAACCATTCAGCATTTACTCTTCTGTGTCTCATTCATATTGGTGAATTTATTAGTGGTCCCTTCTTTGGTACTGCTGAGTAGCAGTACATTGTATCAGTATACCAGAATTTATCTGTTCACAGCTTACTGGGCATTTGGGCTGTTTAGGTTGCTGGCTATTATGAATAAAGCTGCTAACAATATTAATGTAAAAGTCTGCTTGTGGAAGATGTTTTCTTTTTTCTTGGGTAAATACTTAGGAGAGGGATTGCTGAGTCACACAAGAAGCATATTTTTGATTTATAAGAACGAGCCAAAGTGTTTTGCAAAGTGATTGGACCATTTACATTCCCATCAGAAATGCATCAGAATTTCAACTTCTCCACATCTTCACCAACCTTGATATTGTCAGTCATTTTGACATTTATTCATTTTAGTTGGTATGTAAAGGGATCTCATCAGCCATTTTTTTATGGAAGTCTTTTCCATCTATATGTCTTCTTTGCTGAAGTAGCTGTTCAAATAGTTTGCCCATCATTGAAATTAGGTTATAGCCTGTTACTGAGGTGTAAGAATTCTTTATATTGTTGACACAAATCTTTTGTTATATATATGCATTGTGAATATTTCTCTCCCAGCCACAGCTTTTTATTTGCTTATTGGTGTTTTACAAAAAAATAAAAGGTTTTCACTTTGATGAAGTTCAAGATATCACTTTCTTGTATGGGATATGCTTCCTCTGTCCCGACTAGGAAATATTTGCCTACCATAGACCTATGATTCATTTCAAAATAACTGTGTGTGCGGCGGGAGTTGAATGTTGAGAACATTTGTTTCATAACAGTATCAAAGTTGTTTCCATACAGTTTCCTGAAAAGTCTAGACTTAACCCATTTGATTACCCGACAGTTTCATTGAAAATCACTTGATGATATCACTTGTAGTGGTTTATATCTGAAATGTCTATTCCACTTTATATATTTACGTGATCATCCTTAAGAAATACAGCACATTTGCAGTTAGTATGACTGTGGTAAGCTTTGAACTCAGAAGCATGTCTTTCAATTTCATTTTTCTTCTTCAAAGTTATTTTGTTTCCAGTTCTTTGCATACTCATATACATTTTAGAATCATTCTGTAGAATCTATTTATCTACACATTTACATTTCCACTTATAAAATTTCCTTTTATTTTGATGACTTAGGATTATGTCTGACTTGACTGCTCAAGTGAACATATACAAACAGCCTCTTGACATGTTATATTACCTTCAACATGTTATCATGCAGAGCAAGGGCAGTTTCAGTTACTCATGGTTACCTTATAATCATCAATGCTGTTCATGGCGATATAAGGAGCACAACAGGATGACAAAAGCCACCAGACCATGGAAGGCATCCCGAATTCCAATGGACCAAATGGCATCTTTTGAAAAATAAAATGCAAAAAATATAATGAGCTGCATGAACAAATTCAAAATTCATTTTCTGGAATACATTTCTAAAGATATGAAACAGATTGTGCATAACCCTGCCTTACATCCCTTCTGTTACCAACCTCTTAACTACCATCTAGTTTTGAAGCTTGACTTTTGGCCTGATACCCACATTTATGCATAAGGAAAGAGATGCAAAGAAGGTCTGAATCACTAATGCGACAGAGTTGGAAAGTAATACTGGTCACGTCTTTCATTCTCTGACTTCATGATTTTAAAATGGGTGCCGATGCTAAATAACGATAATAACGAACATTCCATTTCCTCACCGCTCTTTATCACTGTTTCAAATGTAATAGCTTGACTCAAAAATCCTATCGGGGATGCTATGGGCACAGCGACGTCCATTCCCTTTTGGGGTACGCCACGAGACCGGAGAGGTATTGGCTGAGGATTCACAAGTGGAGACGGGTACTGGAAGGGAAGTAAAATCGCCGAGGAAAACCTGTGCCCTTGTGTACACACAGTGCTGTCCTGTATGTGACCCTCTTTCAGGACAGAAGATGCACAGACCCTCTTGAAAACAGTCCCTGCTGTTTCATGATTCACACAGTTGTGCCCTGACCAGGCACATTCCTGAAAACCAGTCATAAGCAGAGCCTGATGGTCTCCAGCCCGGCCACCAGGGACACTTCCTAGCCACAGAAGGTGAGATTCAAGTTTACTGTCAGGATATTTCCAAAACACCTGCATGCGGATTGGGGTCAGGACCCTGTGGCAAATCCAACGACTCTGGGCGGGACAGAAACAAGGGCTGAACTGACAGAAAGCTCTTCCTTGCCAGTGAGGAGGTACATTGGAATAGAGTGTAAAATGAGTTGCTGGAGATGGTTAGAGTTAAGGGCATATAATTAATTATAAGACAACTAACTGGTTCGTATCCTCAGACTCACCCAACCGAAACAAGATGTTTTTATAGCTGGACACCCAAGGTAACAACTCAATGATTGTACCCTCCCTCAGAAACCAGAAACTTGGAAAAGCCTTCACAGTCATAGAGGAGGTTAATTAAATAAACCATTGTATATATTTTAAAAGTAATAAATATTTGATGGGTGACTAAACTTTTTTGCTTTCATGATTAAGTTCCTAACGGAAAGGAATGTTTATTTCCTGAGGACATAGTGAGGTATTTTGGAGAACGTAACTCAAGATCTTTCTAGAGCATATAAAAATAATGATGGATACATGGTCCATTTTACATATACATGGGTAGACAGTTATCAGCCAAATATATGATCATAAAAACCTCATAGTTGAGTGGGATATGGGTAACTTCCTTACCTCTGATATTGATATATGTATTTGACAAATAAGTAATTCAGTGTTTCAGCTGCTATCCTAGGTACAGGGTATTACATAGTGTTAAAAATGCACGCCGAGAGAACATTCTAGGAGGAAGGGATATATTTAGGGAAAAATAAAGAGGAATCATTACAGACCCTGACGGGTATGCTGGTTTCCAAACCTAAAGGGCCGTGTACACTCCAATCACCGGGGCCTTTTTGCAGAAATAGGATTTTTTTGCCTTCATGAAAAAGCTGGTTTGGTTTAGAGTAGGCTCTAGGAATTAGTATTTTTGACAAGGAACTGGAGTACTTCTAATGTAACCAGTCTGCAAGTCTAGCCTGAATTTGTCCTGAAAATTTTTTTTTGTAGCATTTATAAAAGTAATAATAAAGCTTCTATTTTTCTCTTTCTTTTTTTCTTTCTCCTCTTCTCCCCTCCTCTCCCCTCCTCCCTCCCTCCCTCCCTCCCTTCCTCCCTGCCTCCCTCCCTTCCTCCCTCCTTCCCTTCCCTTCCCTTTCCTTCCTTCCTTCCTTCCTTCCTTCCTTCCTTCCTTCCTTCCTTCCTTCCTTCCTTCCTTCCTTCCATTATTTTTGTGCTAATCACAGTGCTACATGATTTTACTTTCATTTCCTTACATTCTCTTTGAAAATATATTTTGTTAGTTCTATTTTGCATTAAAAAAAACAAAAACCCTGAAGCTCTGAAAATCATGTTGATTTCCCCAAGCCACAGAGCTCGGATGAACCCGAATGCTAATTTATCATGCAGGGGTTTACGCACTAAGGATAGAATTCCAGCCCTGAACAGAGTGACCAGGGCGTTCCCGATGGAGAGTCATAAAAGCACATACTTACTGGCATGAATGTACTTCTCTCCGTTTGGATCCGTGCTGATGGTGTGACCATCTTAAGTAACCCGTTACTGACAATATCCATAAGAATTGGGAAACAATTCAGTCTTTTGGTATTGCATGCTAATGAAAATCTATAATTCTAAAATATAAAAAGCAAGGTTATAAATTCTCAGAGATCTTCATTTTTTTTCTAAAGAGATCAAAATTCAATATCTTAATTTTAAAAAATCATGTTTTTAAAATGGTGTTCAATAATCAGAACAAATACAAACTCTGTGTAAATAAACCAAAACATGTATATAGGCTGTATCTGATTTTATAGGTGTCTGGATCATGACTAGAACCAAATATTATTATTGTTGAAGAATAGAACAGAAGTTTAGAGTAGATGCACTAGAAAATCCTTGAGAGAAACATGTGTTTTTTGGACTTAAATATGTTCTTCACAGTGAGTATTGTATAGTATTTATTTTGCTAATGTACACAGTTTTTAATTGGTATTCAGCAATTAATATATGAATTATTTATGATACTAATGACTGCAATTAACTAAGTAACCAAAGCAGCATTTGCTTTTCATTTTTGTTTCCTAAACTGAAGGCCTGAGTATATTGATAGTTTATTAGCTTTGTACACCTGCAGGAAAAGTTGCTAAAGAGAGACCAGCGTACCTTCTCATGACTGGACACTATGATGGCCCCATTGTACGAAAGATCATCCAGGCCATTCCTGCTTCCGGACGCATCCACTTCCAAAGCCAAGTTCTGACGCTCCACGGAGTGTATGAAGTCATCAATACTCGCCCCTAAGTTGTAGTTAAATATATCAGGTATCTCAAAACTAAGAAAATTGCCTGGCCGGTGTGGCTCAGTGGTTGAGCATCGACCCGTGCACCAAGAGGTCACCAGTTCATTTCCCGGTCAGGGCACATGCCCAGGTTGTGGGCCCGATCCCCAGTGGGGGGCTCACGGGAGGTGGCCAATCGATGTTCTCACTCATCAATGTCTCTATCTCTCTCCTTCTGCCTTCCTCTCTCTCTCACATCAAGAAAGAAAAAGAAAAATTTTAAAAACTAAGAAAAATCAATGTCAAATTGTGCAGTGAAAGTAAAATTAATGACCTTATGGAATACTTGCTGTAATAAGTACCGTGAGGATATTTTCTCACATGATGACATGCCTGCTACTGTGAATCGAAAAAATCTACTCAGTTCGGCTGGTGTGGCTCAGTGGCTGAGTGCTGACCCACTCACCAAGAGGTCGCCAGTTCGATTCCTGGTCAGGAGGAATGCCCAGGTTGTGGGCCTCATCCCTAATGGGGGGCACGCAGGAGGCAGCCAGTCAATGTTCTCTCTCATTGATGTTTCTCTCTCTCTCTCCCTCTCCCTTCCTCTCTCTAAAATCAATAAAAAAATTTTTTTAAATAAATAAAAAAATCTCACTTCTCAAGGAGTTTATAATATATTTATTCACTTATGATTACTGCCATATGGTATATTTGGAATAGATTTTTTTCTAGAAGATTTCAATGAGTAGCCATACCAATACAGTTTTAATGACACAGATCATCTCTACTAATTAACCACCAAATTTTCTAAAGCTCACGTCACTACCACCAGATTATCAATAGATTTTCAAAATGATTCTTGATATAGGAAGAAACTTGTTGAATGGCTATGTAAAGAGCTCCAAAGACCTCCCCAGAAAAACAACCATAACTTGTAAAAATTATTCAAAAACCAACAAATTAAAATATTTTGATTGTCTTAAAGACATACGGAAAATGAAAAAAAACATTTATTTAAGAAAATCTACTAAATCTGTGTAAGAACACTAAGAAACTGTGACAAAAACCTGTACCTTCACAACCCTTCCTTGATTAGCATAGCAAAAGCTCTACTCTGAATGGGTGTAGGAAAGAAATCAGGGGTTCTTCCTCCTTAAGCCAGTCTAAGGATACAGCATCTTCCAGACAGGAACTGGGGTGGGGATGAGAACCACTTGCCCTTATATTAGAGCTTCTACCTTATGGGGAAGAAGAGAACTCTAGATCTCTCAGTCACTCATTTCTGGTCTCAGCTTCTGCAAACATGAAGCTGAAGGCAATGAGAAAGTTTGGTGGCCTGCCCCTCCCAGGAAGATAAGAGGATATCTATTGAAGTTGCATCCCTCCCTCACACCATACACAAAAATTAACTCAAAATGCACCACAGTCCTAAATGTAAGAACTAAAAGTATAAAAGCCTTAGAAGAAAAGATAGCAGTAAATCTTTGTGATCTTGCATTAGGCAAAGCCTACTTAAATATATCATCAGAAGCACAGGCAAGGAAAAAAATAAGTTGAACATAAAAATTAAAACATTATGCTTCAAAGGACACAAATAACAAGGTGAAAAGACTATCTACAGGATGAAATAAAATATTTGCAAAACATTTACAGTTGATTCTTATTATTTCCAGTAGTTATGTATGCACTTTTAGAAAGTCACCACAAATACTGAATTAGTGAATACTGGATCATTGCTCCTAGGGGAAACAAAAGGGTAGGTTTCCGCATACCTCTGGCCTTTAGCCAATCAATGCATTGCTTTATTTTATGTATGTTTCTTTGCATTCATTGTTGATTCATTAACATTGATCTCATAGCCAACAGCACTGTAATGTATGCCTAAACAAAGCTAATCTAACACACGTTTTCTCTGTAAGGTACATCGCAGCCTTCTTTACTTATGGACATTGGAATGCACTACACTTGGGGGCTATTTTATTTTACTTTTTTATAATGTGTGTGTGTGTGTGTGTGTGTGTGTGTGTGTGTGTGTTGGTAGTTCAGAAAAAAAGTATTTTAGTTTCATAATATATAATTATAAGTTCTACCAGGCCTGTAGATCCCAGCTACAACTGTTATGAAAATGCTTAAGACTGTTGTCAAATTTGGGGAAACTTCTCTTGAATTTCTTTCATATATAAGCTGTAAGATTGAAGTCATTTCAAGTTTTCTTGTGCAATTAGTAAAATTAACTGTTCTTTGAAGTGACTATACTCAGTTTGTCATCATTGTTTTTTTTTTTATTTAAATTTTATTTTTTAGTTACAGTTTGCATTCAATATTATTATTTTTTTAATTTTTCTTTATTGATTTTAGAGAGAGAGGAAGGGAGAGGGAGAGAAAGATAGAAACATTGATGAGAAAGAACATCGCTTGGCCGCCTCCTGCATGCCCCCCACTGGGGATTGGGTCCACAACCTGGGCATGTGCCCTGACCAGAAATTGAACCAGTGACCCCTTGGTGCATGGGTCAATGCTCAACCACTGAGCCACACCAGCCGGGCTCAATATTATTTTGTATTAGTTTCAGGTATATAGCATAGTGGTGAGGGCCATTTTAAACAACAACAGCAACAAAAATACCAAGAAAACCACAAAAATGTAAAAAATGTGGCACTAAATAGAATACAGAAAGGATATTTGTTTACAGTATGAAATATTGTTAATGGTATTAGAGTTGAAACAAGAAGGCAGATTGACACCTTGTTCTACCTCAGCTGGAAATGTGTACATCAGGTGACACAACATTTTTCCATCTCTGAGCATATCTGTGAATGACCACAAAAGTGCCATGAGTATTGGATTTGGGGACTACAAATACATTTTAGTGAGTAGACAAGTTTATAAGTACATAATCTGTGAATAGTGAGGGTTTGTTTTATCTAATAAGAGGCTTGTGTCTAGAATATATAAAAAACACTTAGAACTCAATTAAAAAAAAACACAAATAAGCAAATTTTAAAAATGGGAATAAAAGACATTTCTCCAAAAAAGATATGCCATCAGTCAGGAAGCACATGAAAAGATGCTCAACATCTTTAGCCATTAGAAAAATGTCAATCAAACCACAAGATACCACTTGACACACATTAGAATGGGTCTCATAAAAAGACAGAAAATACCAAGTGTTGGCAAAGATGTGTAGAAGTTGGAACCCTTACAAAAGGCTAATATAAATGTAAATTGGTGCAGGCACTTTAAAAAATAGTTTGGCAGTTCCTCAAAAGATTAAACATCATCACCATATAGCACAACAATTCTACTCCTACATTTATATCCCAAAGAAATGATAAAAACACATTCACATAAAAACTAGTACATTCATAATTACCAATTATTTAAAAAACAATAAAATATTCAGCCTCTGATGAATAATAAAAGGTGGTAAAAGATGAAGTACTGACATGCTACAACATAGATGAACCTTGAAAACATCATGCTAAGTGTAAGAAGTCAGTCACAAAAGATCTTGCACTGTATGAATCTACTCATATCCAATGTCCAGAGTAGCAAATCCATAGAGATAGAAAATAAATTTGTGACTGACCAGAGCTGGGGACAGAATGAATGGGAATGATTACTAACGAGTATGGGATTTCTTCTTGGGACGACAATATTCTGAAATGAATGGTACTGAAGATCACACAGCTCTGTGAATACACAAACAACCATTGAATTGTATATTTTAAATGAATAAATATGGCATTTGAATTTTATCTTAAGCTGTTAAAAATGTGTGTTTGTGTGTGTGTACAAACCCTTTTCTTTTGCAAAATGCCATCAGATCATTGATTTCTCCTTGACAAATTCTTTCTTAATTTCTGGTCTATTTTGGCTTGTCCATTCATCATCCCCGAGCCTCAAGAATTGTTTTGAACGCATGCTTAAGAAGTAAAAAACTGATCCAGCAATACATCAAAAAAATTATTCACCATGACCAAGTGGAATTCATCCCAAGGATGCAAGGCTGGTACAATATTCGCAAATCAATAAATGTGATACACCACATAAATAAAATGAAGAATAAAAACCACATGATCATATCAATAGATGCTGAAAAAACCTTCAACAAAATCTAGCATCCATTTCTGATAAAAATGCTCAGCAATGTGGGAATAGAGGGATCATATCTAGACATAATAAAGGCCATATATGAAAGACCTACAGCTAACATCATTACTCAATGGGCAAAAACTAAAAGCATTTCCTTTAAGAACAGAAACAAGACAAGGATGACCACTTTTCCCACTCTTATTTAACATAGTACTGGAAGTCTTAGCCACAGCAATCAGACAGGAAGAAAAAGTAAAAGGGATTCAAATTGGAAAGGAGGAAGTGAAACTGTCATTATTCGCAGATGACATGATACTATACGTAGAAAACCCCAAAGACTCCATAGAAAATTTACTAGACTTAATAAATGAATTTGGCAAGTAGCAGGATACAAAATTAATTTCAAGAAATTGATGGCATTCTTATACACCAAAGATGAACTCACAGAAAGAGAAACTAAGAAAACAATCCCATTTACCATTGCTGCAAAAAAATTAAGATACCTAGGAATAAACTTAACCAAAGAAATAAAGGACCTATTTGCAGAAAACTACAGGTCATTGAAAAAAGAAATAGAGGAAGATATAAAAAAGTGGAAGCACGTACCTTGTTCACGGCTTGGAAGAATTAACATCATTAAAATGTCCATATTACCCAAAGCAATCTATAGATTCAATGCAATCTCCATCAAAATACCAATGACATATTTCATAGAACTAGAACAAATACTTCAAAAGTTCATATGGAACCAAAAAAGACCCTGAATAGCCACAGCAATCTTGAAAAAGAAGGACAAAGTAGGAGGGATCACATTATCATATTTCAGGTTATACTACAAAGCCACTGTAATCAAAACAGCCTGGTACTGACACAAGAACAGGCATATAGACCAGTGGAACAGAATAGAGAACCCAGAAATGGACCCAAGGCAATATGCTCAATTAATATTTGACAAAGGTGGCAAGAGCATACAGTAGAGTAAAGACAGACTCTTTACTAAATGGTGTTGGGAAAATTGGACAGCTACATGCAAAAAAAAAAAAAAAAAAAAATGAAACTACACCATCAACTTACACCCTACACAAAAATAAACTCAAAATGGATAAATAACTTAAATGTAATCTCTGACTCCATAAAAATTCTAGAAGAAACTGTAGGCAACAAAATTTCAGACATCATACGCAGCAGAATTTTCACTGATACATCACCTAAGGCAACAGAAACAAAGGAGAAAATGAACACATGGGACTATATCAAACTCAAAAGCTTCTGCACAGCGAAAGATATAATCATCAAAACGGAAAGGCTACCCACTGTATGGGAGAGCATAATTGCCAATGATATATCAGATAAGGGGTTAATTTCCAATATATATAGAGTGCTCATACAACTCCACAAAAGGAAGACAAAGAACCCAATTAAAAAATGTGCAGAGGGCCCTGGCCAGTTTGGCTCAGCGGTTAGAGTGTTGGCCTGCGGTCCAGAGAGACCCAGGTTCGGTTCCCGCTAGGGGCGCGTACTTCGGTTGCAGTTTGTCCCCGGCCCTGGTTGGTCGTGTGGGTGGCAGCCACTCGATGTGTCCCTTCACGTCGATGTTTCTCACTCTCTCTCTCTTCCTCTCTCTCCCTCCCACTCTATCTGTACAAAAAATGGAAAAATATCCTCGGGTGAGGATAAAAAAAAAAAAAAAAAAATGGGCAGAGGAACTAAATAGACAGCTCTCCAAACAGGACATACAAATGGCTAAGAGACATATGAAAAAATGCTCATCATCACTAATCATCAGAGAGATGCAAATTAAAACAACAATGAGGTATCACCTCACACCTGTCAGAATGGCCGCCATCAACAAATCATCAAACAACAAGTGTTGGCGAGGGTGTGGAGAAAAGGGGACTCTAGTGCACTGCTGGTGGGAATGCAGACTGATGCAGTCACTATGGAAAATACTATGGTGTTACCTCAAAAAATTAAAAATTGAACTTCCATTTGACCCAGTGATCCCACTTCTAGGAATATACCCTAAGAAGCCTGAAACACCAATCAGAAAGAATATATGTACCCCCATGTTCATAGCAGCACTATTTACAATAGCTAAGATCTGAAAACAGCCCAAGTGTCCATCAGTAGACGAATGGATAAAAAAGCAGTGGTACATATACACAATGGAGTACTATGCAGCTGTAAGAAAGAAAGACCTTTTATCCTTTGAGACAACATGGAGGGACCTGGAAAGTATCATCCTAAGTGAAACAAGCCAAACAGAGAAAGACAAGTATCATATGATCTCACTTATTTGTGGAATATAATGAACATAACAGTCTGAGGAAGGGGGTAGTCCCAGAGACGTGGAAGTGGGGTACAGACTGACAATCCCCAGAAGAGGGGGTGGTGGGGGAGAGATAAACCACAGAACTTATATGCATGTATGCATGAACAGTGGACATGGACAACAGTGGACATGGGCAGAGGGGGAAGGGGAGGGGGGAATCAGTGGGGGGAAAAGGAGAAATATCTGTAACAAAAATTAATTAATAAAAAAAGAAGTAAAAAACTCATTTTTTTCTCTCATGTTTATGTTTTCTAACGAATGCTCTGAGCAGTGAATGTATTGGACCTGAAGCACTCACCCCGTTGTTACCTGTTTTATTGATGATTAATACTCGAGTGAGAGGGTCATGTGGTGGTTGTCCAGGAGCAAGGAAGTATGAATGAGGAGAAAGTTCCCAGGTGTAACTGTCGAAAGATATTTTCCGGCTGATGAACTGCCACAGAATCGGTAGAAGTCCGGTTCCGAGAATCAGCAGCCTGCACAGAAGAAAACGGCAGTGTGAACGCACGTCCATCCCTCACCTTTGACCTCGTGCAGGCAGAGTATAGTGTAATGAGATCAAGAAATCATGCCAATGAAACATGTAGCTCTCGGACTCATTTATTGAGTATTTTGTCCTTTTTCTACCTCAAAATTTGAGAGGATACAAGGTAGACTTAGCCTTTTGTTCATTTCTCTTGTTCCTCTCTGGCCATGAACTACCCTGCACAATTTCATGAGAAATGGGCCCTTGCATTCTGTGTCCAGACTCTGTCTGTTCCTGGAATCCAGCGCGGTGTTGATTCACCAAAACGTTATATGCAATTTTCTCCACGGTCAATTCTCTTCCCATACGTCCCCATTCCTCTTGGGGATGACTGCACGGTTTCCTGAATCTCCAGGCTCAAACTTCCAAGTGTTTTTTATCCTCACCTGAGGACATTTTTCAATTTTTTTGTTCAGATAGAGTGGGAGTGGAGAGAGAGAGAGAAACATCGACATAAAAGGGACACATCGAGTGGTTGCCACCCTCACGACCCAACCAGGGCCAGGGACAAACTGCAACCGAGGTACCTGCCCTTAGCGGGAACTTAACCCGGGTCTCTCTGGACCACAGGCTGACGCTCTAACCGCTGAGCCAAACCGGCCAGGGCTCAAATTTTTTTTTTCACTCTTTATTTTCCTGAGTTCTCCATTTCATAGAAGCTGAACATTTTGATTACGTTTTCATTGTATCCTATATCGAAACCATTCTCCATGCCCAATTTCTAATGTCACAATACAGCTCTTCCTAAAGGACTGGCATCTCTCGAACGCTGTCCTAGGGTGTTGCCGAAAGATTTTTTAAAAAAGCATGCTAATCTCCTTGTCAAAGATTCTTGTGAATTCTCACTCCTTATTTATTTAGCAAGTACTTATTGAGATTCTATTACGTGCTGTCCTCCGATTTCTTTGATGCTTAATCGACGGTTTCATAGACAAGGACTGATTAACAGCTAAAGTCCTGTGGACCTCAGGGTGCTAACGACAGGTGATGTGGTCCCTACGAGCAGGGACAGTGCCCATTCGGCGCTCAGCCGTGTGGAGAGGGAGCTACCACCGCGTCAGGGGCCTGGGGGACGTTTTGACCTGCAGGTCAGAGCAGGCGGGATGCAGTGGGCGCTCAGGGCTCCCAGGGAAGGCAGCTGCATGACCACGGCCAAAGCCAGACCTCGGCACAGGAATGCTGGGAAGTAGACCTACATCCCCAAGCTTCTGTCGACGAAAATCTAAAGGGGAGCAAATATTACAGGAAAACATCCATCACTGCAACTTTCCCCTTAAAACGGGCTCGGAAACATTATACATTTTACCTGCTAGTCGGCTAGGAGGTAAAACTAGGACCACGAACTAGACCGTTACACTTTCCCCAGGTTTGTAGATGCAGAAACCCATTTTCTGTTCATTTTCTCTTGTTCTTCGACCTCGAGTCTTTAAGCTGCATCGACTGAACAACCGCTGCGGCAGGCTGATACTCACAGAGGGAAAACGCATTTCCTCTCGTGCTTTAGTTTCAGTAGGCGGACCCTGGCGATGGCACGGAGTTGCTGTCCCCACAGAGCCCAGCCGCTGACCGAGTCGCGCATCTCACTCAGCAAGGACAGGACGTGTTCCATGTCCACAAGCCTGTCTGTGTCTCCAGCTTCTTCTGCTTGGGCTTCTCCCGACGTGGCAACACCTGCGAAACACGAAGGGAGTCATGCGTGGGGCCCACTGCACGTGGACTTTGTGGAGCGCACTGCGGGCGTTTGTCATACCAAGGACGTCCCAGGTCACGTCTGCCCATCGTTATAATTCGATGAGATCAAGAAATTATGTTTTCCTGTACTATGTGCTCTCCTTTCGATGTTCTTGGACAGACACATGGGGCTGCAGGTCTTATTTCTCGCATTCCTGCGGCATTGTGTGCCATTACTGGTGGGTGCCATGAACTAGAAAAACTGAGGGAATAGTCACTTCTTGAACAAAAGGACCCGAAGAAGAAGATTGTAGATAATTTGGATGCAGACAATACATTAAAGAGGTTAAGCCCTGGCCGGTTTGGCTCAGCAGTTAGAGCGTCGGCCTGTGGTCCGGAGAGATCTGGGTTTGGTTCCCGCTAAGGGCACGTACCTCGGTTGCAGTTTGTCCCTGGCCCTGGTTGGGTCGTGTGGGTGGCAGCCACTCTGTGTGTCCCTTTCACATTGATGGTTTTCTCTCTCTCTCTTTCTCTCTCTCTCTCTCTCTCCCCCCCTCCCATTCTATCTGAACAAAATATGGAAAAATGTCCTTGGGTGAGGATAAAAAAAAAAGAGGTTAAGACAAGTATGCAAGGTCATCGTGGCACCTTGTTGTGACCTGGAAACGTGGTAAAGGGAACAGTTATCTGAGGTGTTCACCTAGAGAAACAAGCTGCAAATGGGGGTTATCTGTAAATTAAACATGACTATGGCAATAAGTGCATTAAAAGTAAACGGACTAAATATACCACTCTAAGAAACATTGTAAAATTTTAAAAAGCAAAATTCAAGTATATGTTGTTTATAAGAAATGCATTTTATGATTTATTATTTTTTTACTTTAATCCTTACCCGAGGATATTTTTCTGTTTCTCTTCAGATAGAGTGGGAGGGAGAGAGGGGGGAGAAAGGGAGAGAAAGAGAGACATCATTATGAGAGGGACACATCATTGGGTTGCCTCCTGTGTGACCCTGACCAAGGTTGGGGACAAACCGAAACCAAGGTATGTGCCCCGGGCCGAACTGAACCAGCGACTCATTGGTCCGCGGGCCGATGCTCTACCTCTGAGCCAAACCAGCCAGGGCTATAAAAAATGCATTTTAAATAAAAAGCACAAGCAGATTAAAAAAAAAATTTAAAGTTGCAAACACAAATTACATTAAATTAAAGAAATTGTATAAATATTAGACAAATTGGGCTTCAAGATAACTCATTACCAGAGTAAAAGGGGCCTTTCATAATGATAATGAATGGAATTAATCAAGGAGACGTGCTAATCCTAAATGTGTATGTGCTTAATAATGTATTTAAAGTACATGGAGTAAAAACATACCTAACAGAAGAGAGAAAAAGGCAAAATTAGATACATCTAGAATTACAGTTGGAGATTTTACTACCCCTCATTTGTAAATGATAGAAAATGTAGGCAAAAAATGCCCCAGTAAGGGCATAGAATATTTGCAAAACACTGTTATCCAATTAGAACAAACTGATATTCATACAACTCTCCATACAACTGAAATTCTGTAAATATACAGGGTGTCCCCCCAAAATGTATATATAACTTTGAATAATTAAATCCAGTGTTTATTAAAATATATTTCATTTTCAAAATGTAATACAATCTACAGGCACCCTATATGAATTTTTTGGGGGACATCTTGTATATATTGTACATGTATACATTTGTATAAATACACGTGCATATATGCACTTTTATGTACGTATGTATAAATGTTTTTAAATGGACAAGAAATAGTCACAAAAATAGATAAAATGCTGATTCAACAATTCTCAATAAATTTAAAAGATTTTAAGTCATAGGTTATGTTTTATGACTACACCAAAAATGTAATGTCAATAACCATAATTTTTAGGAAATTCGTAAGTCATTTTTACATTGCATAACACATGTGTAAATTACCAAGTATGACAATAATGTCCCATAAAATAGGGCATACCATCAAAGATGTAATAATTATTGAAAATAACCAAATAGAAATTTTGTATTTGAAAAGTGTAATAACTGAAAAAAAATTGTTGAAAAATAAAATCTCAACAGATTTCATCTGGTGGAAGAGATGGTTAGTAAACATGACAAAAGATAAATTGAGATGATTAAGTCTAAGGAATGAAAAGAAAACAGAATGAAGAAAGAACAAGGAAGTTTCAGAGGAATGGGAGACACTATGAATCATACTAACAGATACCACCACATACAATAATGAGGATTCCAGAAGAACGGAATAGAGAGAAAGAGACAGAAAACATAGTTGAAGAAACAGTGGCTAAAATCTTCCCAACTGTGAGGAAAAACCCTAATCTATACATATAGGAAGCTCAACGACCACCACGTGGGATAAACAGAAGGAGGTCCATTGTAGTTGAATTGTCCCAGCCAAAGACAGAAAGAGAGTCTTGAAAGCAGCCGGAGTAAAACAACTCATTACACAAAAACTCCTCAATTAGATCTAGAGCTGACCTCTCATCAGAAACCATGGAGACCAGCAGGCTGCATGATGACACATTCAACATGCTTGGAGAGAGATTTAGAAGAAGTGTTTCGTCTGAAATTGCTTTTGGAAAATGGGAGATACTGAGGGCTATGAGCTTTGGTAGAAGAAAACAGGCCGACTTAATCTGAAGGCAATATTGGCGGGGGGGTAACAAATGTGAGAGCGATGCATTTCACTTCAATATATTCTTGTCCAAGATCAGCCTTAATCACAGAACCCCACATGTGGTACTATGTTGTTGGAATGGTGTCTTCTTTTTTATATATTGATTTTAAAGAGAGCAATGGAGAGAGAGAAAGAAAGAAAGAGAGAAAGAGGTATCTATTTGTTGTTCCACTTATTTATGCATTCATTGGTTGATTTTTGTATGGGCCCTGACCAGGATCGAACCCGCAGTCTTGGTGTAGCAGGATGATGCTCTAACCAGCCGAGTTCCTCAGCCAGGGACTGGAATGGTGTCTCCCTGAAGCATATACTGCACTAGGTGTTAGGAATACATTTGCATGATAATTTTCATGTATTTTATTTACCTGATTCGTCAATACTTGATTTTCCTTCTAGTTTCAGGAACACTTCATTCAAGGTTGTCAGGGAAACACCATAATTCTCAATTCCCAGTTTAGGACAGAGATCAAGATTCTCATAAAGTTCTAAAAAACACATACACAGTAGCAAATCAAAACAACAAAAATCACATGTGAACTCAGGACCACTTTTCAAACTAACAAGCACAAATGTATAAAACTATACTTGTATGTCAGACATTTAAAAAACTAACATTTTATGATAAGCAACATTCTTCAAGTCTATATATTTCCTTTTTATTTCATATTGTGTTACACCTCACACATTAACTTCTTTTGATCAAATGTTAATTTATATTTTTATTAAAATTTCATTTTGATTTTTTTCTAACTTGCTTTTAAACTGTAATTAATAGTGGAACTTCAGATTTTTTCAACTCCAAGCCTAATTAATGAAAGAGTCTTCTGCAGAGAACAGATACCACTCAGAGCCAACAAAGGAATACAATTAATTTTGTGAGAATTAGTTGGATTGTGTAGAAAGTATCTGTCAAAGGAAGTACACAGGATATAAATCATTTTAAAAATTTTCTTCTTTTGACAATGTAAGAAAAATTCACAAGATCTCATAGACAGAGAACAAAGGATTGACTCAGAATGTTCTTGGAATAGTAGGAAATTATGATAGTACACTCTCTAGCAATTCTGCATTCATTCATTCTTTAGTTCATTCACCAATAACACTTCTGCATCAATCATTGTTCTTAAAACAAGGAGCAATGTCCCTGAATTTGAATTATAAATTTTTCATTAAATGAAGCTTAAATAAAAGCCTAATTTTAAATTTTAGTTTGATTACAGAACTCCTGCAGCTTCAACCTGGAGCTTATCTCTAGGCAAAAGGATACCTTAAAAGCTTTTTGTTTGTTTGTTTGTTTGTTTGTTTATTGTTGTTGAGAGTATTATAAATGTCCCTCGTTTCTCCCCCTCTATCCCTTCCACCTGGCTCCCGCCCCACCCTAGGCCTTCTGTCTTTTTGTTGTTGTTGGTGTTGTTGTTACAGATGTTTCTCCTTTTTTCCCCATTGACACCTTCCTCCCCATCCCCCCCACCCCGTCCCCAGCTTTGTTGTCCATATCCATCAGTTATGTGTACATGCATATAAGTTCTGTGGTTTATCTCTTCCCTCCCCCTCACTCCCTCTTCTGAGGTTGTCAGTCTGTACCCTAGTTCCACGTCTCTGGGTCTACCCTGTTCCTCAGACTGTTATGTTCACTATATTCCACAAGTAAGTGAGATTATGTGATATTTGTCTTTCTCTGCTTGGCTTGTTTCGCTTAGAATAACACTCTCCAGGTCCCTCCATGTCGTCTCAAAGGATAAGACCTCTTTCTTTCTTACAGCTGCATAGTACTTCATTGTGTATATGAACCACAGGTATTTTTTTTTTAAATCCTCACCCGAGGACATTTTTTAATATTTTGTTCAGACAGATTGGGAGGGAGAGAGAGAGAGAGAAACATTGACGTGGTTGCCACCCACACAACCCAATCAGGGCCGGGGACAAATTGCAACTGAGGTACATACCCTTAGTGGGAACCGAACCCAGGTCTCTCCAGACCGCAGGCTGATGCTCTAACTGCTGAGCCAAACTGGCCAGGGCACCATCCATCTACTGATGGACACCTTCCGTCTTTTTAAAAAATTAAATTTATTGCTCTGGCCAGTTTGGCTCAGCGGTTAGAGCTTCGGCCCGTGGACCAAAGAGTTGAGGGTTTGATTACGTTCAAGGGCACATACCTGGGTTGGGGTTGGTTCCCCGGCCCTGGTTGGGGTTGTGCAGGAGGCAACTTATCAATGTGTTCCTCTCACATTGATGTTTCTCTCACTCTCCCTCTCTCTCTCCCTTCCACTCTGTTTGAGGATAAATGGAGAAACACCCTCAGGTGAGATTTTTTTTAATTTAAATTTATTGGGGTGACATTGGTTAATAAAATCACATCGATCTCAAGTGTACAATTCTGTGATATATCATCTGTGTATTGCATTGTGTGCCCACCACCCGAAGTCAAATCTATGTCAAAGCTTTCTGTGTTGATTAGAGTTTAGAACACAGAAACAGAGAGGAGTGAGATTTAAACTGCAAATGAGTATTATGTGTCATTCTTCCGTTTCCCTAAAATTATACAAATCTGTAAATTATAACTATGATGGAAACACATTAATTAGGGTTTAACACTTTGCCTGATGTTTCTAAGTGATACTTGTGTTATCACCATGCAGTGCATATTAGAATGACTTTGTGAGGGTGGTTCATGTGTCTTTGATGCCCACACATTTGGTAAGTTTAATTATTTCAACCATTCAGTGCAGGCCCTCATTGGGCCCAGTTCCTAGGTACCACATTCTCTAAGTGATAAGCATAACTGGTCATTTTTTTTTCTTTTTAAATTAAACTCTTGCCCTGGCTGGTTTGGCTCAGCAGTTAGAGGATCGGCCTGCGGTCCAGAGAGACCCGGGTTCGGTTCCCACTAAGGGCATGTACCTCGGTTGCAGTTTGTCCCCGGCCCTGGTTGGGTTGTGTGGGTGGCAGCCACTTGATGTGTCCCTTTCACGGCAATGTTTCTCTCTCTGTTCCTCTCTCTCCCTCCCACTCTACCTGAACAAAAAGTGAAAAATGTCCTCAGGTGAGGATAAAAATAAATAAATTAATTAATTAATTAAACTCTTTATTTTGAGATGACTTTAGATTCACATGCAGTTGTAAAAAACAACACAGAGAGATCTGTGTACTCTATTCAGGTTCCCCTAATGATAATGTCTTAAAAAGTGACCGTACATGATCACAACCAGTGTATTAATATTAATACAATCAAGATCGAGAACAAGTTATTGTGCGTCATGTTTTAACCACCTGAACACACTGTAAGCTCTCGATAGATGTCAGTTACAATAAGTATCACTGATATTATTATGAATAATATTTCAGTATTTAATTTCGTTATAGTCATGCTCATTACCTGGAAATTTATATGTTGTTTCCAAGGGTAGTGTATAGACAAGTTTCCCTTCACTTGCTGCTGATAATTTGGCCTCAGGGATGTGCTGTCTAACAATGGATGTTATTTTCTCTTGAGCACACATTTCATTCAACTGCAAACTGGTGTTTAAAAAAAAAGATGTATATTATTTGACATCCTCTTCAATTGCATGAAGAAAATTACTAGTCTCTAGAGGACAAAGAAAAATCAAATAAACTCTAATGCAATAAAGAGGTCATCTAAACATGAAATAAGAGGACAGAAAATCAGATTATATACATGTGTAGGAGGAAATCAAGGAATGAGCTAATCAGAATTATTGGGTAGGTTATTCAGGGATGATGGCCAGAGAAGGTCAATGTTAAATCAGGTTCTTAAGGGGAGAATAGTTACGGAGTAGAGATACTAGGAACACAACACAGCGAAGTCAGGATTATACAAGATGAAAATGTTTAAGATGTTTCAAAGGCGGTTGTATTGGGCAAGAACAAGGAATTTTGATTGGCTTGGGCACAATACAGTTTCAGTTATTCAATTCAGTCATCCAGCGCAAATTGGAAAAGTTCTTAGTATGTGACAAAAACTGTCCCAAATGCTGAGGGTACAATGGTGAATAAAACAGTATTGTCCGTCTCCTGTGGAGTTTAGTTTCTAATGGGAGAGACAGAAAGAAAAGAAGTAACCAAGCAGATAAGTAAAATAATTACCAATAGTGGTAAGTGCTATGCAGGAAATGGGGTTAAAGATAGAAACTAATTAAGGATAAATGTGGGTTTGAGTTGGTGGGATCATTGATTTTTTTGTTTCTTTATAGTGCTAACTCTAGTGCTTTGATGAAGAACAAAGTGTCATTGAGAAAATCAGCCTATCCACTGAAAAACACTAATGTAGAAAAACAAAAAAGAATGCATTAATGAAGGTTATAAAGTATACAGTGGATAAAATACAGGCAGTAACTTGGTTCGGCCATTTGAAATGTGTTATTTAACCTATCTGAACAGTTTCCTCATTAATAAAATGGAATAATGATTGCAAACATTTAGGGTTGTTCTGAGAAGTGAATACTCATGATGCTTGCACTTAGCAAGCCCCTAAAAATGGTAGATATTTTGTTTGATCAAATGCTTGAGTCGAAATTATTCTATTTACTCAAAAGGTATTATGAACATATAAGAATGAAGGCTATTTTTAGAAGGAGTGGAATTCATTGAGGGAATGAAACAAAAAAATATCACAATTGTTCTCCATGACGACGCTATCAATTCATGAAATATTTCCTGGCAACGAGGTTCTTGACTATTTACAAGAACCTGTGCTGGGCACTAGAGAGGACGGCATGAACCATACGAGCTTATAGCTTGGAAGAGGGGGTCAGCAACCTTGTTCTGTAAATAGCTAGATAGTAAATATTGTAGGCTTTGCAACTATTCAACCTTGCCATTGCGACATGGAAGCGGTCACGGCCACTATCTCAACCAGTAGGAGTGGCTGTATTCCAAACTTTATTTTCAAAAACAGGAAGTGGGCTGAATTTGGCTCATGGTCCATAGTTTGCTGATCCTAATTTAGAAGAAGAAATGAGGCAATTACAGGACTTATTGTCCAGGACAGTCCTGAATTGGTCAGGGATCCTGACCAGCATTTGTTATTTTGAGAACATGTTAGGTGGCCATGCAATGTGCTGGTCACCATCTCATTTATTTTTCTATAACCGTCACTTACAACCAAGAAGTATTACTCCCACTTTATAAGTGAGTAAACTGAGTCTCAGAGAGTTTAATTTCCCAGAAGAGATAAAAACAAAGGGACAAAGGAATCAAAATATTGGGACAATACACAGAGATGCAAGATTGATAAAGGCTGCCTGAGGTGGCAATCAAATCTCTCGTTAGGACTCGAACAGGTCAAACAGGCTCAAGAAAATGCCAGATTCAGGAAATAATTTCAAACAATGAGAAATATAGGCCATGCCATGGCATGTGCAAGGGAGCCATGAATATTTCATTTTAACTGAAGTGTATTGACTTGAGTAAGGGCCGATGATACCGCAGTCATGGTAGTGGGCCACACCAACATTACTTGACTGTGTAGTTTGGACTCTAGTAGGTAACATGGAACCCCTGGAGTTTTCCTGTTTGCTTTGTCCTGTCATATGTTTCTTGTTTGTTTGTTTTGTGTGTGTTTTCTTCAGTTTTTAAAGTGTAGATAGTATACATCAGAGCTGTGTTTTAGACAAACTGACAATTCATGTATAGATTACAAAGTGATTGAAAATATGGATTTGGATACTAAGCTTTGAAATGTCAACTATCCAGGTTCGGTTACTGACTCGACCACTTATCACCCTAGCAAGCCTATAGTTTCACCCGTAGAATAAAAGTAACAGCAGGTCCCACCCCATATAGTAAAAGATTTAAACACAATAGTGTTAATTATCTTATCTCTGAATCAATCAATAAATAGCAGCTAGAATATGTTACTATTTTAAAAGAATAATAAAAATGAAATGAAGAGGGTAGACAGGAGGGAAAGGACAAGAAAGAAGAGGAGGAGCTAAAGGAAAAGAAAGAAACAAGGAGTCTACCTAAGAGATTAGGTTAAAACCCTGGGTGAGAGACGATGAGTGTGAAATACAATGTCAGTTGAGAAAGTTCCCTTAACACATACCTTCCTTACCAAATAATGTGTTGTGGGTATATTTTCTATTACATTTATCTAAACCTTTTTGTTATCTTTTATTCTGAGTTCTAAAATCTACTAGTCAATAGCTTGTGTATATTCATACTAACTCCATATATCTATATCTCCATCTGGATATACATCCCCATATTTGTATTGGTGTATATGTATATATAAAGATCTGTATAAAATAATAAAAGGTCTCCTTGTGTGTTGTAATATGTTGCTTCAGGCATCATGCCTGTTCTAGCCCATTTCTCCTTCTCCAGCCTCTTCAAGTGGCTATACCTTAAGCGATACCCAATCCCCCATTTCTTCTTTAGAAACAGAGATGAGCCTGCACACTTCAGCTTCCCTTTGGAGAGAAACACTTTCCTATCTGAAAGGGAAGAAGTAAAGAAGAAAATTTGTTAAGACATTGCCTATTTCTTCTCAAGAAAAGACAGGTCATTGTCTACATGATCCAACTCTAATTTAGGAGCATCTACATTTTCAAATGCAGGGCTTCATAAAGACTCATTGAAACAGACACATTTTAGCCTGGCCGGCGTGGCTCAGTGGTTGAGTGTTGACCCATGCACCAAGGAGTCACGGGTTCGATTCCCTGTAAGGGCACATACCCAGGCTGTGGGCCAAATTACCAGTGCGGGGCATGCAGGAGGTGGCCAATCGATGTTCTCTCTCATCGAGGTTTCTCTCTCTCTCTCCCTCTCCCTTTCTTTCTCTCTAAAATCAATTAAAAAAAAAACACAGACACATTTTAATCTTATTTATATACTTTAGGCTGTTCTTTTCCCTTCCAACCAGTCAGAAAGGTTATGCAGATATATCTTCTAATATAAAGAATCATCACATTATGCATTGTCATGGAACAAACATCGAAACTGTTCGAATAGTTCAAGTTGATTTACTTCAAGTTTGAGTAAAAGAATTAATGCCTTTGAATACAGACTCTAACTTCCTTGGAGATAAGTGAGTTTCCTGGCAGATCATGCCCTGTGCAATCAAACGATACACACTGGTTGGGAGTAAGACTCCTGGGCCAGGTCCTATCCTTCAAATGGCTGGATACAGATAGATGACCAGGTTACAAAATACGGCTGCTCGGCATATCATCCATATTTCTCAAATCTTATCTAGTCTTCATCACGATACTTAAAGGAAGCCAGTACTTACCAGCCAGGATGTCAGCCTCATCCATGAACTGGGTACTAAAGAGAATCACACGGTTCATTTTCCGCTCCTTCAGCAAGTTCCACACTTGATGCCTTGAAAAGGGATCCAACCCAGCAGTTGGTTCATCCAGCAGGAAAATCTATAGTGGAGAGGTGCATCTAAAAGGGCCTTCCAACAAAGTATCTGGTTCTTCCAGAAACCACGTGGAATATATCTTATTTCCATTTCAAAGGGCATTGTGGTTAGGATTTTGTTCTTATATTTAATGTCCCGTCGTAAATATTTTATCACAGTTGTCCAATGCAAATAAAAGATTTGAACGATAACCAAGAGTTTTATTTTTTGAAACTTGAATCCGTCTCTGATTTCGTCGGACTTACCTGAGGGTCTCCTAAAATGGCAATCCCGAAGGTGAGTTTTCTTTTCTGTCCACCGCTGAGATTTTGAGCAAGGACGTCCTCAATATTCTTCATTTCCAATTCCAGCAAAACTCTTTGTATCTAACCAAATGACAACATTTGTTTCACAAACCAAGATTCTTTGCTTTTTAAATGTATAAATACGAGGCTGTAAAGTGTAATGGTTAAAAGCACGAACACTGAGCCAGACTGAGTGGATTTGAATACAGCTCCGCGTTAACCAGCTGCCTAGTCTTGGCCAAGTTATCTGCTCTCTAGAACCTCCGTTTCCACAAATGTCAAATGGAAACAATAATAGTACTTACCTCATAGAGTCGTTACAAGAAATAAATGAATTACTATATTTAAAGTTAACGATAATGCTTGGCAGATTGTAAATTATACATAAATGTTAGATATTATCTAAATTACATATTTTGTCCATCTTCTATACAATGATTTTGCTCAAAGATAATTTAATGAAAGCATAACAACTCAGTTCAGATAGACTTAATGATCTCATTTTGACCAATGCATTAGTTCTAGTATTTTACGTACCTCTTGTTCCACTTCCTGTGGCTGAATCCCTTTTATTTTAGCAAAAAGCCTGAGATTTTCTCTCACAGTGAGGTAGTCAAATTGCACATTGAATTGCGGGCAAACTCCAATCAGCTTGCTGATATTTTCTAGGTCAGCCGTGTTCGAAAGTTTATTATTATACACAGTGACTGAACCTATAACAAAGATTAGAAGTTACTGTCAGATGATGCATAAGTTAAGATTTTTCTAAGTGAAAAGTCACTACATAGCTATTAATTACATTCTAGATACATGGTTTTATCTTCAAGGTTGATACAATTCAGGCATTATGAACTTGCGTTTTAGTTGTGTGGTGTGTGGTGGGGAGAAAGGTCCCTTCTGCAGCCTTTTCCATGAAGAAGTAGTCTATTTATTTATCCCTCACAGTTAGGTGTGGTTCTATAATAAATGAAATTTTAGCAACTGCGAGATAAGCGAAGGCTATGAAGTGCCTCCACCTTGGCATTGCCCTCTCTTTGCTCTGGGATCATGAACACCACTGGGTGAAGGATCCCTAACTAGCTTCTCAGAGATGAAAGGCCATGTAGGAAGAGAGATGCCTTGGTCCTAGCTAGAGCCCCACATATGTGAGTGAGGCTACATGGAAGCATCCAGCCCCAGGCATTTGAGTCCAGACAGAAAAACTGCCAGGCAACCCACAGAATCAGGAGAATTAGGCAAACATTTTTATTGTAAGCCATTCGTTTTGGGGAGACTTGTCGTGTAGCAAAAGGTAACAGATACAAGTTGGAATGCTAACTGGTAACTAATGACCATGAAAATAATGATCTGGAAACACTCAAGTTCCATATATACCAATTAAATACTGCATACCTCTGTAGAATAATACTACAAATTAACTTCCATTTTCCCTGGTAGTCTGTGTTTGTAATTAATAATCAGAAGAACTTACTATTAGCAGCTGATTTATTTGTCAACCTGACTTTGGGGAAAAAAACTTCTTACCTTTGGTGGGAACAGATACCCCACTAAGAATGTTTAATAATGTTGATTTTCCAGCTCCACTGTGACCAAGTATTGCAGTGATTTGGCCTTCATATATGTCAAATGTCAGATCTATAAAGGAAAAAAGCAAAGAGAAGAAGAATGGGAGAAAGGAAAAAAGGCAAAGAAGTTGGGAGGTAGAAAATTAAACCTACACATTTATTGTGGAGCTAAAATTTGTCTTTTTATTTCCTCAACTGGCCATGTTTTCGAAATATGAATCTACTATGTTGTTAAACTCAAAATTTTAAAAGTGCCCTTTTATAAGTTTATATATTTTGAAATTACTTGTTTTAAAGCCAGGAAACATCTTATACTCCTAGGTTCATTGACATTGTCTGGCATATGGTAGGTGAATGCTAATATTTATTGACTTAAAGGATAGATTAATAGTTCATTAAGTTATTATATGGATAAAAATCCTTTGATGTATATAACATTTTTCACAAAATAAAAATATCAATATCTACAATAGCTTTAGAATTGTTGTTTGCAGAAAACAACCCAGAATAGCGTCAGGCTACTTCAATATTACCCAGTATATATAATTCTAAAACATACTTAATTTTTTCTAACTTTTATATAGTAGCAGTAATGTGTGGCAAAGGAAATTTTATGACATGGCTCAATAACTAATCTCAGATCTCAAATACCACCAGTAATTGTTCACCAAGAGCCAAAAAAAAAACAACAAAAAGAATGAAATCAGAAAATTAATATCAATATGATTACTAAATATTATTATTATTATTTCATTTTATTTTACCTTTATTATTATTATTATTTTACCTTTCAAAGCTTCTATTTTTTCAGGCTTTCCTTTAAATTCTTTTGTAACATTTCTGATTCTGGAAAAAAGAAAAGAGACTTCAAATTATGACAATTTTCTTCAGTTGGTAATTCGAGGTTTGGTTGACAAGATGGATGTATCTGCCCTTCAGAGCATAGGAAGAGCTGGGATTTTACCCTCAGGCAGTCAAGCTTGTGTGAGAGAATCAGCTAGAATATTTCTTCCCAGGCTTGGCTGCACACTAGCTTCACCTGTGAAGTTTGGAAATTTACCTGTGCTTGGAACACCACCAGATCGTATGACTCCAACAACTGAGGTGAAGACTGACATTGGTATTGAGAACTAAGATCATCTCTAAACTGCAAAGCCCAGGCAAGTAGACCGAGAGGTAACATAGGCATTCGTGACTGAAGGGCTCGTTGTGAACTACTTAATCGGGTTGGAGATGTCTTTGGTTATCTTGAGTCAAGGTCAGGGTGGGGTAAGGGAGAGAGGTGAAGATCATGATGGTAGGAACATGGGTTTTACAGTCCTACTCCACTGAGCTCATCCCAGCTATTACATTTAGCAGCTCTGTTACTTTATACCAGGTACATTTCAGCTTTTGCAACCTAAAAATTTGGAGTGCTTTAGGGTTGTGTTGAAGGATGAGTAAAATGCTTCATTGGGCTTGCATAGTGCTTGGCTCTTGGTAAGTATTCAATAACCATAAGATGATGGTGGTTACATTATGATGATTACGGTAATGGAAAGGAATGGAATTAGCATGCTGGGTGCTATTACAGATCTGGAATTCTAGGCAGTTTACCTATTTTATTATATCAGGTAAATATATAACCCATAAACTGAATCAAATTTATGTTTCTTATTTTGTCATCAAACAATTCAGGTTCCATTCATATTGAACAGTTTAGATTTTTTCATTTCTATTTTAATTCATTTTACCATCATTCTATAGTATTTATAGTTGGGTGAGGTGCTAAAGAGATAGAAAAATAGCCCTGGATGGTTTGGCTCAGTGGTTGGAGCATCGGCCTGCGGACCAGAGTCCCGGGTTCGGTTCCCGTGAGGGGCACGTATCCCCCCCCAAAAAAGAGATAGAAAAATAAAAATAAACACATCAAACAAAGCCATTGCTTTGCTCCAAGCTGCTCCACTGGAGGTTAAACCTAGCTTAGGTGACAGAAAAAATATAAGTATGGAAGATAAATATGAAACATTAAAATAAAAAATGAAATGGTTCTGAAAGCTTAGTAACTGGGAATGATCTGAGACAATTTACAGAGGACTGACATGATGCTGGACATAGGTGAATGAATAAAATTTATATAGTCAGGAATGTTGAGAATTTCTTCTTCTTTTTTTTAAATTTGGAAATAAAAGTAACCAGCACTAGGCAAAGCACACTCTAAGAAGCACATCTTGCCCGGCCGGGGTGGCTCAGTATACTGAGTGTCTTCCCATGGACTGAGAGGTCCCGGTTTGATTCCCAGTCAGAGCACATGCCCGGGTTGCAGGCTCCATCCCCATTAGGGGCCGTGCAGAAGGCAGCCAACTGATGTTTCTCTCACATTGATATTTCTCTCTCTCTCTAAAAAAATCAATAAAAACATATTAAAAAATCAAAAGGCACATCTGCTTCAATTCCCTTTTGACTATCTCTAGGTCTTCTTTTCCTTCCTCTTCCCTGCTCTTTCATCCTCTTTGAAAAGGCAATAAATAGACAAGGGAAAAGAAGATAAAAATCTTGCGAGAAAAAATAAGAAGTATACTAAATGAGGTGGGAGCAGAGTGTGATTAAAGAGTCCAGGCAAAGTAAAGGCGAGGGTGAGGCTGACGTTGGAGAAGACAAATAACAGGTACAAGATTGAGAATCTAGGTAAGGGTTTTGTTGAATTATCTTTGTGGGTGAAATATCAGTTTGTATTTAATGTAAGTGTCAATAATATAAGACAACGAAGGGTCCAGGAATTTTTCTTTAAACTTGCAGTGGGAAGTGGTGGACACTGCATGGATGAGGTGAGGTGGGAGCCCCCCAGGGCACGAAAGAGAACTTGGCTTGTTTTAGGTGTGAACTACCAGATCCTCATTCTTTGGTCTGTTCTCCACTTGCATCATTATTACCTGATGGCTTCCTTCCCATGGAATTCTGGAGACACTGGTTCAAAACAGTCATTAGATGAAGGACCAGGATCTATTTCATCTTCAAGGACCATGTGATCAGCATTATGTTGTCGTGACCAAAAGGAGGACTTTAGGAAAAACAAGGGTGGATATCGATGTCCATATTTATCTACATGGCCAGGAGACAGATACTGGGTCAATCACCATCTTACGGGAGAGAGTCACCCCAATGTGGCACAGCAATGTAAACATTTTGCCAATAAACATGAACACATGGTTGACACACACAAAAATACACTTTTTGATATGTGTAGCTTCATAGGGAGAAAAAAAATCACTAAGATGTCTCTCTATTATAATGATTGTTCCTACAGGAAGAACTGAAGATGTGACTTTAAAAAATTCTGGAGAAACTTAAATAAATGTTAAGACTCTTCTTAACCCCAAGAAAGCCAGGTCAATCAAAAGCAAGACACATCAAATCAAGCATGCTGAATTCTATCTAGGAGTCCAGGTGTTACAACATGGCAAAGGAGGAAGAAATTGAGGAGCGACTATGGGTTAAAAAAAAAAGCAAATATTCCAACAGAAGATAAATTAGGATTTCACAAAAATAAGTGACACCCTGTAAGAAAGGGAGATAATGGGGCAAAAGAGTTTATTGAAATTGAACACAGAGCGGAATGCTAAAAAGCAAATTTGTATTTATGCCTTATCTCATCTCCAAATTATAAATTTCCTCTGAAGCAAATTTATGATCTGCTTTAATAACATATTATTCATGAGCCTCTTTCTGGGAATGAATCCACAGTATATTTGCTCTTCTGTTTTCCTTCATGTGAAGAGACATTATGAAATCGGAGAAGTTCATTTCTCTAAATTCTACAACCTATAAGATTGATGGGTTTTCAAACTTCTGTGTACTTTTCACATGTTCAGTCATTCATTCATACAATAAATACATACTAAGCACTTTCTCAAACTGCAGCCGAGGTACATGCCCTTAGCGGGAACCGAACCCGGGTCTCTCAGGACCGCAGGCCGACGCTCTAACCACTGAGCCAAACCGGCCAGGGCGTGAGCACTTTCTCTATACCTCACATATGGTATATTATTAGTTGATACCCATCTTTTCCCTTTGATTAGGAAGCCTAGCAAATAAAAGCATGTAGCTTAATTGGATACATTCTGCCATGAGATTTATTAATACATGATTCTATCATTTTATCTAGTTAGTTTTCCTTTCTGTCACTCATACTCCTTATCTTTAAAAGAATTTTTAACAAAGTCACCTTGTTCAAATTCAGGCTTAAACTCGGGCTTAATAGATGGATGATGCAGATAATTCCAACTATATAATAAATGCATGAGCAAAAAATTGTAGGTCCTGACATCTATTATTCTGGATTCTTCTCAAAGGCAGAGGTAGTTACTGTTCTTAAGGGATTATCTAAAAACAACACGATCAAGTCACTGCCTCCAGACTTTACTCTGCGTCTTCACTCTTCATTCTTTCCTTTCTACAAGTGTTTAGTCATTGTTGACCTTTTTACCTACTTAATGTGTTCATTTTATTAGTGATTCTCCTATTTTTTCCAGCTTTACTGAAGTATGATTGACAAATAAAAATTGTCTAGCCCTGGCCGGTTTGGCTCAGCGGTTAGAGCGTCGGCCTGCGGTCCAGCGAGACCCGGGTTCGGTTCCCGCTAAGGGCACGTACCTCGGTTGCAGTTTGTCCCCGGCCCTGGTTGGGTTGTGCGGGTGGCAGCCACTTGATGTGTCCCTTTCATGTTGATGTTTCTCTCTCTTTCTCTCTCTCTTCCTCTCTCTCCCTCCCACTTTATCTGAACAAAAGAAATGAAAAGAAAATGTCCTCAGGTGAGGATAAAAAAAAAATTATCTATATGTTTAAGGTGTACAATGTGATGTTTTGTGAAATAACTACCCCCATTGAGCTAATTAACATATTCATCACCTCACATAGTTCCCATTTTTCTGGGTGTGTTTGCATAGTGAAAACACTGAGATCTATCTTAGCAAATTTCAAACGTATAATACATTATTACTAATTATAGTGATCATGTTATACATCAGATCTCCAGAACTTCATCTTATAAATACAAATTTATAACATCTCCCATTTCCTCACCCACCCCTACCCCCAACCCCTGGCAACCACCATTCGACTCTCTGTTACTGTGAGCTTGACTTTTTTAGATTCGATGTGTACATGAGATGCAGTACTTGTCTTTCTGTGTCTGGCTTATTTTACCTAGCATAACGTCTCTGCGTTTATCCACGTTGTTGTAAATTGCAGAATTTCTTTCCTTTTTACGGCTGAAAAATATTCTATTGTAGGTAGGTAGATAGATAGATAGATAGATAGATAGATAGACAGACAGATGGCACATTTTCTTTATCTATTTACCCACTGATGAGCACTTAGGTTGTTTTCATATCTTGGCTACTGTGAATAACACTGCCGTGAACAAGGGAGTACAGGTATCTCTTTGAGACAGTGATTTCATTTCCTTTGGATATATACCCAGGAGTGGGATTGTTGGATTAAATGTATAATAGAGGCTCTTGGTGTTCTGTTTTGAATAGGAAATGCAGAGGTCAAAGACACAGACCTGCCTTTTGATCATAAAAGGAGGAAGAAAAAAAATAATGCACTAGCATTTCAGCCACAAGTATTTACTGAGTCCCGAGCGTGCACCAGGCACTGAGGTGGGTGCTTGGGGTTTACCTGTTCACAAAACAGATCTCTGTGGAACTCACATCCTTTTATGTTGCAAGGTAATAAAAATGAAAACTGATCGCCTATTGACTTTCCTACTGTGAAACTATGCAGAGATTTTAAAAAATACAGACACCTTGGTCCCACCACTGACTAACTGAATCACAATCTCTTGGAGTTGAGCTGGGCTTGGAAGTTTTTCAAGTTCCCCAGGTGGTTCCGATGTGCAGCGTGGAGCTAAAGACTTGGACAAAGCACCGAGACCCACTTAGGAACTAGCTTTCTAAGCATCTCTTAAAAAAGAAGCAAGCTATACAACTGGAGTGGAGTGAAGTTCAAACAAAGGTTAGGCATTCTAGAAGCAAAATTCCGGCTTTAGTTCTGACCAGTCAAATAGCAAGAGAGAAATAAAGAACTAATTTGGTCAGTGGCAACAACCTTGTTCATTTCAATGACCTTGATGCACAACGTGGTTCCTAAACCATAATCAACACGGGTTAGGAGATTCGTTTTAGGAAGTCAAACGATTAAAATGATGTTCGATTTTAATCGTATCACTACTCACTTGGCAAGATTTTCTCAAAGTAAATCATCAATGCCAGGTAGAGGAAAATATCAAAAGCCAACATAAAATATACTGCTATTATTTGATTTAAGTAGTCCGATGAATCGGGATATGCGTTGGAATTCACATCATAGTCCACCCGTAAAATCTGAAAATTAAAAAGCAGTTAATGAAAGGAAGTTAGGTTTATGATACATTTTAAACAGGTTTAGCATAACAATGAAATAGCTACTCTTTGCCCCATACCAGGAATACAGAGTTGAGAAAGACTGCCTACTTGACATTTCTCAAATCAGCTACAATGCAATTTAGTAGCTGCAATGCTATAAAACATGTTCCAAATGAAATGGGAGTGCTAGGCGGAGGAAGGGAATTATGGGAAAAGATGACATTTGAGCTTGGCCTTCGATATATTTTTACCAAATTGGACATAGAAAAAAGGTGTGGTGCGCCTTGAAAATGAGCGAGAATTTATGCTCCTGGAAAAACCACCGGTGTGTTTCAGAACGAGGGACTGAAGTGGGCTGGTCTGCAATGTGTAGCTAATGAGCACATTATAACGAGCGATCCTTTTGTCAAGCACTAAATAATGGACATGTAGTGATTGACATTCCCACTACATTGGAGGGATGCAAAGGAAGTTCAATGTGAGAATCAGATAAAGAGAAGTGACATCTCATGAACAGAAATGTAATTTACTACTCGATGCATTTTCAAGGTGTTTTTACCTTTGAATTGTCTTTTACTTTATGGTTCGGCAATCATGTGTGCTGTTCAATGACTAAGTCAAAATATAAACTGGAAGAGTTATTTAGTACGAGATTTAAAATTTGTTGTTAGTCATATTTAAATGTTACTCAGTTCCACTCTTTTTTAAAAATTTGTTTTAGAGAGGAAGGGAGAGAGAGATAGAAACATTGATGTGAGATAGAAATATCGATGGGCTGCCTCCTGCACGCCCCTCACCAGGGATCTAGCCCACAACCTGAGCATGTGCCCTGACCGGGAATCGAACCGGGACCTCTCTCTCCATGGGATGATGCTCAGTCCACTGAGCCACACCAGCCAGGCCATCGTGTCCATATTTAATTAGAAGCGAAAGAAAACAGTTAAAAAAATTTATATTGGCCTTACATATTTTGCTTCTAAAGCTTTTGAAACCTCACAATAGTCTTGATTAGGATTTTATACCTTTCAACACAGCATAGAAATGACTACAGACAATTAAATTCCAGAGAGGAGACACACATAGGGTTAATACATAGAAATACAAGACTTTATTTCTTATTTAAATGTAATTTATTTTAGTTTATAGTTTTGCATTCTGAGATCTGAGTTACTCCTTTTCCTCAGTGCATAGAGCATTATAATTGTTGTGCTGAAGGTAATTATTATACCTAATTTCACCAGGAGGTTGTCTATGGACACTTACCTATGACTGCATAGCAAATGTAACCAAAATTTAACATGTCGGTGTTTTATTTCAATAAAGTAAACAATGTAATAAAAAATATTCCAGAGAGGAGAGGTGGTTCAGAACTGTCACTAATAAGCAATGAGATAGCTTCTCACCTGAGCCATTCCCAGAACGAAGGCAAAGGGGCTAAGAAGACCCAACGTCCACTCCAAGGGTGCGGGAAGATGCCTGCTCAACACCATGAATCCTAGGCTCCCCCAAAAGACAATGAGGAGGAACACAACCAGGCCAGTGAGGAAGGGTTTCTTTATCAAGACGCTCATTAGAAAAGCCAAGGCTATCTAAAATGGGAGAAGATGCAGTTGGTTTATATTTCTCTACAAATTATTCCTGACACACACAAAAAATAAGACAGCAAATATACAACGTTAGAGTTATATTATTAGTCTATGTATAAAGTACAAAATGTTGGTCTAAAATTTGCACTACAAACTGGCATTATAAAACACTACAGATCAAATACCAGTCCACAGACCTTCACATGCAAATAGGCAGAGAAGAAAAGGGATATGTAGAACAACAACCTATTTGAAAACCAACACTTGATCCTGTTAGACAGAAAAAAATTTAATTCACCAACTCACCAAGGACAGTCCATAGAGGAGAAAGAGGGTGAAGATCTCCGTGAAGCCAGTCCAAATGATAAGTGGGATAGATTTTATAATAAGCACCAAGAAAGGGGTAACAATGAAGATGGGACCACAATAGAGCAAACCCCAGGAGAGCCTAACGTGGAAACAAGATGTTATTTTAGTATTTCACCTTCAACTGGAAAGGACCTCCTATGGATTCTAACATCATTGATTCATTTATTCCAATCATACATTCATTCACTCAGCAACATATTTTATTGAGTGTTTGGGATATGTAAATACTAGGTGAATATTTTGGAAAGAATTCCTAAGAAATTAAGAATACTCTTTCTCTTGAAATTACTTCTGGAAATACACACATTTGCTGACACCACTCCACACACATTATTATGAGAAACAGAAAACATAAGCTTCTAGTCTGATAGATTTTGGTTCTACATTTTCTCGGTTGTGCTCTTACTCTGTGACCTCAAACACACTCTGTAAACCTTCTAGATCCTTTTAGTACTCTGGACATTTGGAATAATACCACAGTGAGGCTCCAAGAGGTCATGTCTATCAATGACCTTGTCCTTGTACGTGGTAACCCCTCAGTGAACCTCAGATCCTGTTCTCTTCTCTGGGGGTGAGGAGTTCATGAATTTCTTTGGAGATTAAAAAACAATTATTCCCTAGGTATAATTTTGTTACTTCTCTCTATTTCCAAAAGCTGTTTTGTCTTTCTCTAGGTGTGTACACCAAAGAGTCTACATACTTGCCTATCCTGTAACATTATCCATTTTCTGTTAAGTTAGGATAGTTCGCTTTCCTTTATTCAATTCCTTTATCTTGTTTATTAATATTCTTTGAAGGGTATAATAAAATGACATTAAACAGCAGGTGAACCAACAAAATAATAACTGACACAAATAGCAAGTACTGGATAATATTTTAAGAACTTCGCAAATATGAAATTGTTTTATTCTCACAGGAGTTCAGTGCAAAAATACCATTATTTTCCTCATTTTATAGACAGAGAACCTAGTCAACAAGGATGTTAAGTAACTAACTATATTTCAAGTCCAGGTATTTTGGCTCTAGAGTCTTTAGATTCCACTGTTTTGCCAAACTTCCCTTTATTGACTGTTAATTCGATAAAGGGGTCTATCTTGATTTGTAGGATTTCCTTCCAGATTCCTAATTTGTTTCCATATGCTATTTCACCTGGCTCCCTAGCCTCTCTGTTATTTAACTTCCTCCTGACTATTCATAAACATCCCCTCTGTGCCCTATCAGCCCGTTATTTACAAGTTCTCACACAGGACCTTGTCCATACCTGCAACTGCTCAGTGTGTGACATTTTAACTTCAAATTACCCAGCCCCTAGTGCCATCCTGTTCTGACAGTTGATCCATCACACCTGATCTCCAAAAGAGCTTCTGAGGCTGGACTTCTGCTTTTCGCTTTCAGGCTCATCCTGGCTTGAATCCCACTTCCGGCTGAGCCACCAAAGCCTATCACCTCTACCACACTCCTTCCTGCTGACCCAGGGGCCTTGCCCTACGACCTCTGCTTTGCAATCACCCAGAAGACCCAAACCTGAGGTTCTCCCTTTGGTCCGAGATGCATGGTAACTCCCAGCCTCAGCCCGGCAAGCATTACACGAAGTACGATTCATTCCACCCATAGGAAAAAGGCAGGAAGTCATTAGGTTTGAGTAGTGATGCTTTGAAGAAGCCCACTCTCCCTGAATTCCTACCCTCGTTGACCCACGCCGCACACACTACTCACCAGAATGCGGAATTGCGAAGACCCATCATAGTCATCAAGCCCTTCATCTGTTTCCTCTCTCTTGTGACATTAATAGAGGCATAGTAAGTGAATGGGGTGAAGAAAATAATGTAGAAGAAAACGAGGATATTCGTGCTGAACCAATCTTGATGAACGAAGGGATGTATCTTCATAGTTTGTCCAGTAACGGACATCAGTTCCTCCAACACTGAGTGATTTGTTGTGACCTGAAGAAAGACATTGATGCACATATTGGTATTTTCATGGATGACAGGGTCTGTTTTCTTCCTATCCTCTCTTTTCCTGTGAACACATGACAGGCGTGATGCTAGCCCTTCTCACTTCCGTGGTCTGCCACTGGCCCATTTGGAATCTCCACTCCAGGTGCCCCTCACCTCAAGTTTCTGTTTTAAACATCATTTCAATGAGGAATTCTCCATGCCCTCCTTGAAGTGCTTCCCTGGTTACCTATAAGGACTTCATGAACACCTCCATGATAGCCTGATTCTCCTCTTCTAATAATCTCATTATATGCCTGGCGTCCTGAGAAGGGTGTCTTCTCCGAGGAGAAAATTTCTCTTCTTATTTATGTGTATTCCCCACGGCACAGAGCAACTTAAGCACAAGTTGTGAAGGAACCAGCAAGTAAATGAGAGAACAAGGCTACTGACTTACATTTTCTTTGATGAAACTTTTTAAAAGTTGATTTTATTTATTTATTTATTTATTTTTATTTTTTATCCTCACCCGAGGACACTTTTTTTTCCATTTTTTGTTCAGGTAGAGTGGGAGGGGGAGAGAGGAACAGAGAGAGAGAGAGAAACATCGATGCGAAAGGGACACATCGAGTGGCTGCCACCTGCACAACCGACCAGGGCCGGGGACAAACTGCAACCGAGGTACGTGCCCTTAGCGGGAACTGAACCCGGGTCTCTCAGGACTGCAGGCCGACGCTCTAACCGCTGAGCCAAACCGGCCAGGGCTTAAAAGTTGATTTTAGAGAGAGATGAAGAGAGAGGGAGAGAGAGAGAGAGAGAGCGAGAGAGAGAAACACGGATGTGAGAGAAAAGCATTAATCAGCTGCCTCCCATAGGCGCCTCCACCAGGGATCAAACCCACAACCCAGATATGTGCCCTGACTGGAATTGAACCTGCAACCCTTCGGTGCATGGGACGACACTCCAACCAACCGAGCCACATCAGCCAGGACTGATACCGCTAATCTGCATTGAACATGAGTTTGCACTGGACTTTTTGGTACTCACTTCTATAATGGCAGCATTAATGGCAGCTTGAAGAGCCACAAAACCTTCATCCCAGAATTCTGTAACTGTACATCTAACATCTTCCGTATACACCGTCCAGCAATGAGCTTTAAGGGGGGGAAAAGCATAACTGTCATTATGGATTAGTTCGGTCTTGGTGATGCGAAACAGTGGCCTTTACCATGGTCCTCAATTCCGACTGTTCTTGTTTCAACTCAGAGCGTGTGAAACAGAAATGATAGTAATGATGCACAAACAGGGGTGGTGGGCAGAGCATGACCAGAAAACAAGGTGCATCAATTATAAGGCACACACTAAGCTTTCTCACATTCTCTCTGCTTCCCCGCCTATCGAGGGTCCTGGTACGCTCCTTTCCGCGTTTGCATGGTGCATACGGCATCATTTGATGTTGCAAAAGTTAGCAGGGCCTTGTATGAACTGAGAAACACTACTCTAAAGTTTAGCCTAACATGGCTATCACGCAGGTACAGTAAGCAAATGTAAGTTTGGATGAGATAATTTACTATGTTTAAATCATGTCAATCAAAACATCTTTTGAAGAAAAAAAAACCATACTTGTTAAAAAGGTTTACCAGCCCGGCTGGTGTGGTTCAGTGGTTGAGCGTCAACCTATGCACCAAGAGGTCGCCGGTTTGATTCCTGGTCAGGGCACATGCCCAGGTCGTGGGCCTGATCCCCAGTCGGGGGCCTGCAGGAGGCGGCCGATCAATGTTCTCTCTCATCGATGTTTCCATCTCTTTCTCCCTCTCCCTTCCTCTCTCTAACATCAATAAAGAAAAAAAAATTTTGTTTTAAAGTCTACCAGTCCATTGAGAATTAAACTACATTAAAGAGAGATCATTTAATATGACAAATTAAAATTGAATATAGAAATTAAATACATTTTTCATTATAAATACTTTTTAAATCATTTAAAATCATTTAGATATACAAATGAAAAAAGGCAATAAAATAAATACATATGTACCTGTGATCAAATTATAAAAATAAACTTTATTTTCTTTTAATAATATATTACATATATGTATACATGTATTTATATCTATACATATATGTATATATGTAAATATAAGTATATATATATAAAACCATCATATAATACAGTATGTTAATCTACTCCAAAATCAATGCACAGTTAAAAAAAAAACCTTTTCTTTCTTTATTGATTTTTAGAGAGAGAGGGAGAGGGAGAGAAAGATAGAAACATCGATGAGAGAGAACATTGATTGGCCATCTCCTGCGTATCCCCCACTGGGGATCAGGCCCACAACCTGAGCATGTGCCGTGACAGGGAATCGAACCATCGACCTCTTGGTGCATGGGTTGACGCTCAACCACTGAGCCACACTGACAGGACAATGTACATTTTTAAAATATGTTGATTGTTCTGTTGATATCACCATCATAGATAAAGATTTTAAAATTCACTATACTGCTTTGGCCAGTTTGGCTCAGAGGTTAGAGCGTCGGCCTGCAGACCAGAGAGTCCCCGGTTCGCTTCCTGCTAAGGGCATGACCCTCGGTTGCAGTTTGTCCCCAGCCCCAGTTGGGGTCATGTGGGTGGCAGCCAGTCGGTGTGTCTCTATTACATCAATATTTCTCTTTCTATTCCTCCCTCTCTCCCTCACGCTCTATCTGAACATGAATGCAAAAATGAACTCAGGTGAAGATAAAAAATGTAAATAAAAATACGTTTAAAAAAATGTACTGTACTAACATTTATTTCCACATATGGCTTGTGTAATGATTGAAATAAAAAGTACTGGAGTCGTAGAGTTAGAAAGCTACCTGAGTGGTCCTTGTGTTCCTTTATCACTGGAATTCTTTTTCCTGGGTAGAATTTCAAATTATACAAGAATGTATTCGTAAAGATGACTCCTATTGTTTCCCCAGGATAATTTGACGTTAATTCTTGCATTCTTTCTTCACTAGAGAGTCCCAAGATTTCTTTATCTGCCATTATAAGAAGGAGATATTATAGTTAGTAAATTATTAGGAGTTTAACTTCAGGTTTCATGTTCAATTGTTTGCCCTAAAGTCTTTATGGAAATAAAAGGAAATCAAATATTGATTTGGAGTAAGTCAGGCACAGTAAAGGTTGGGGAGAAACATTTCTATAATTTTATCCAGATAGTGTATAGTCAGAAGGCATACATAAAAATCAGTTCTTTCCATATGTTGAAATTATTGAACCAATTTCAACTACACATAATATACTATACCAATCAAACTATTCACAGAAGAATTCACATTACAATAAATCTAAAATGGTATACATCTATATGTAAATATACTTTTAAATCATAATTAGGTACTGGTTTATATAAGATTAAAATAACTATATAACTTTATTTTCCTTGAACAACTCTCACAGTAGTTAGTATGCTGAAGAAAAAAGTGAAAACTTCAAAAATATGTTGAGTGATTATGTTGATTTCGCTAAAATAATTCCTCTTTTTTGCTAATATTGTGTTCATTTGCAAATAGATGCTTTATTAAGACTGAAAAAAATGAGCCCTGGCTGGTTTGGCTCAGCGGTTAGAGTGTCGGCCTGTGGTCCAGAGAGACCCGGGTTCGATTCCCACTAAGGGCATGTACTCTGTTGCAGTTTGTCCCCGGCCTTGGTTGGGTTGTGCGGGTGGCAGCCACTCGATGTGTCCCTTTCACGTCGATGTTTCTCTCTCTCTCTCTCTCTTCCTCTCTCTCTCTCCCACTCTATCTGAACAAAAAATGGAAAAATGTTCTCAGGTGAGGATAAAAAAAAGACTGAACAAAATGAGAAGGAATACAGGAAAGTTCTGGATTGGTGTGGGAATGCCCGAAATGGAAGTGGAGGGAGCAGGCAGCATGGACTCTGATAACATTAACTCCCCCCCGGAATCTATTCCTTAAATAAGTTATGATCATGAGCAAATCACTTAACCTTCGTTACTCAATTTTCATATTTGTAAAATAAATTTAACAATATCAATGATTAGTAGTAGTGAATATTAATACATAGTACAGATAGATATAATACCAGATAATACTATTAATATTATAGAATCGCCCAGCCGGTGTGGCTCAGTGGTTGAGCGTCGACCCATGTACCAGGAGGTGCCGGTTTGATTCCCGGTCAGGGCACATGCCCAGGTTGTGGATCCCCAGTGGGGGGCATGCAGGAGGTGGCCGATTGATGTTCTCTCTCATCAATATTTCTTTCTCTTTCTCTCTCTCCTTTCCTCTCTCTAAAATCAATACAGGAAAGAAATTTAAAAAATATTACAGAATAATATACTGTTACTAGAAAGTCCAAAAATACAGCACATAGTAGCATTTGTTGAATACTTATTATCATAATTGCAATGACCTTCCTTGTAAAATAAAGATGATAACACATTCATCGTGAAGAGAAACTCTATGTGAAGATCTTGCAGTGGTCATGTATGAATATTTACTATCACAATGGCATGTAACTTTTTTTAAATTTTTTATCCTCACCCGAGGATATTTTTCCATTTTTTGTACAGATACAGTGGGAGGGAGAGAGAGGAAGGGAGAGAGAGAGAGAAACATCGACGTGAAGGGACACATCGAGTGGCTGCCACCCGCACGACCAACCAGGGCCGGGGACAAACTGCAACCGAAGTACGTGCCCTTAGCGGGAACCGAACCCGGGTCTCTCCAGACCGCAGGCCGATGCTCTAACCGCTGAGCCAAACTGGCCAGGGCGGCATGTAACTTTTAAGGAAGGTATTGTTGAGACGCACAAGTTCATGACATGGGGATGCTCAGGAAGACACTGTGAAACAGGGTGAGAGCAAACACATCTCAGGATAGACAGAAAGACTGCACCTCAGGTGCACAATCAGATCAGGTTAAGATCTTGAATCAAAAGTGGATTCAGCCCTGGCCAGTTTGGCTCAGCGGTTAGAGCGTTGGCCTGTGGTCCGGAGAGACCTGGGTTCGGTTCCTGCTAAGGGCATGTACCTCAGTTGCAGTTTGTCCCCGGCCCTGGTTGGTCGTGTGGGTGGCAGCCACTCGATGTGTCCCTTTCACATCAATGTTTCTCTCTCTCTCTCTCTTCCTCTCTCTCCCTCCCACTCTGTCTGTACAAAAAATGGAAAAATGTCCTCGGGTGAGGATTAAAAAAAAAAAAAAGTGGATTCAGTGTTTGCAGGCAAGATGCACAGTGTAGACATGAACTAACAGTGTGATGTTTGGTGAGGTGCCATGGAAATGTTGGGATGTCTACAGCCACCCACCTGGCCTGTGTGCGGTGAAGCAAGGACAGGAAGTTAAAGTCCACATAAACTGGGAACTGTGGTCATAGGCACTCCAAATGATAAGGGCCTGGATATAGACTACAGAGTGAGTGGACTTCTGGAGACTGAATTCAGATAAGGGGCCAGAATCCAAACACAATATTAATGGCTACCTAGGCTAGAGTGGAATTATGGACAGAGGTTGACAAAAAGAAGAGACATTATATAACTTCCAGTGACTGCATGGAGCAAGAGTCACAGGTTTTCTTACAATAATACCAGTCTTGGTAGGGAATTATGGTGCCTAAAATTAATTCTGAGTATCTTCTAAGTGATGTTTTTATATTCTTTTTAAAATTGAGTTTTAATTCCATAAAAGTCATTCTTTGAAAGTGCAATTTCACAGTTTTCAGTATATTCACCAAGTTGTGCAAGCAGGAAGCCAGTGTGAGATTGTAACTCAACGCGCCTTTATGAGACAAGCACCATAGGTTCCCCTTTGAAGTGTGCATTTGTAAAGAAAACAAAACTGTTGTTTTCAATTGCCTGGCATTCAGTTACCTAGTAAACACCCTAAAATTTATCTAGGATACTGCCCCTCTTCCATTCACACACTGTGTGATTTGGATGTGGTTCACAGGGTAACCTGGGAGCCCAACCTGTGGTCAAAGACAATACTTTGTCTCCCTATCCAATGAGATTAGTTATGATGGACCAAGATCAAGACTCATCTAAAGTAGACCACCTGTTTCAATGGGCATACTCTCTGAAATTATTTTGAGCTGTTGGAAAAGGTCTGTATTTTTTCACTGGAGTCGTTTATGTGGTTGGGCTTAGAACTGGAGATTCTGAAGACCACCTCTGCGTCTTTTGGGGAGAGCCAACCTGTGAATGAAGGCAGCGTGCCTTACTGTAGACCTGAGAAGTAGAGACATATTTCTTCCTCTATTGTTGACATTCCTCCATCCAGCTGTAAGCTGATACTCTTTTTCCTTAAGCTGGACAAGAGATGTCCCTTTTCCTTAAGACAAGATGAATTGGAATTCTCTTGCTCTCAACTGAAATATTCATGAAAAATACAGTATTGCTAACCTTATTTCAAATATGGTGGTAATGAGACTCAGAGAAGCTGACAATTCGTAAAACGTACTATAGTCACGATGAGGAATTGCTTTAGTCAAACGTTCTCTGACCCTATGTCCAGTTCTCTGGCCTCAGTGCGAGGCTTCTCCTCGAATGTCAGGAAATCGTTACAGACCAGAGCTTGACAGTAAGAATGCTTGTCTTATTTTTCATTGATAAATACCTTCACACTGAAGGGCAAAAACTTAAAAACATAGAATGCTCTTCAACAGAATCTTCAAATATAGTAAGACAATCTTTTGGGTAGTAAACAGTGAGGGTAAAAGTCCTATAATCAAAAGTAAGAAGAGAAAACACTGGGTTCTTGTTTTGTTGTTTTTGTATATAATCATAAGCAAATACTAGAGGAGCAGTCTCATTGTAGTGACAAAGCTTCCCCAGCTACAAGTCAACAGCTTGCTCAACACTTCTACTTTTCAACGTCTACCCATTGGTGTATTCCATGCTTCCCCGACCAAGATCAGTAGATTTTTTTTTTTTCCCCCCGAAGGACTGTGTATTCCAAGTGGTAATCCCTTGCTGGGCAAGAAATACATTCACAGTTTTGACTTCGATATTGAGAGATGGCCTCTTACTTCCAACGAAAGGGAAAATACATTCACATTTCACATAATCTAGAAATTGTGACAATGGACACAGTGCAAATTAAATGCATGCATCTTTAGTCAAATGAACCAAATATTGAAATTTTAAACTCCTCTCAGGTTGCTAGAAAACTCACCATGCATAAAGGATACCGAGGCGACTTTACTCATGATCTGCTGGGTAGTATTGGTGACGGGTGTGTAGGTCAGAGTAAAGGTAGACAGGTTCAGTGAATCCACCCGTCCCAGGTCTGGGGTACTCCGTGAAGACAAATCAGTAACCTCATGACTAGGATAGAGGTACAAAGTAAGTAGCAGGAACAATGAGCCCAGGCACTCCTACACAACGAAAGGGAAAAAATGAAGAAAATGATGATTTCAAATTAGTTATCCACAGTCATTTGGTCATGCAGTTTGTCCTATTCACTTTTCTAATTTTGGTACTTCTCACATTATGACCCATATAAAATATGGACAGTACACATTTCAGCAACCTGTGTAATATCAATGAGCTAGTACTAGAAATTAAAACTTTTTTGGATCCACAGCACCAGTCTAAAGCAGGCACTGGTCATGAAAAGATGACAAGTAATAGTTTCAGGGCATTACTTAATTAGTGGTGATACACTGGTTAACGCCAAGATTCTAGTGTTGGAAACTCAAAAGCATGTTGGCAACCTGAGAAACACTATCTTGATTAGTTATCAATACCGGTCACTTAAAAACTTCCAATACGAAATCACTCTATTTCCTAAATGCATGATTGTAGAAGAAATTCACAATAGACATACAGTAAAATTTCTACTTAAACACGTCACTTAGCTATACCTATAAGATATTTTATTTTATTTTTTAAAATTATTTATTCATTTATCTATCTATTTTTATCCTCACCCAAGGACATTTTTGCATTCATCTTCAGATAGAGTGGGAGGGAGAGAGGGAGGAAGAGAGAGAAAGAAACATTGATGTGAGAGAGACACATCGAGTGACTGCCACCCACACGACCCCAACCGGGGTTGGGGACAAACTGTAACCGAGGTACCATGTGCCCTTAGTGGGAACCGAACCCGGGACTCTCTGGTCCATGGGTCGACACTCCAACCGCTGAGCCAAACCCGCCAGAGTTATCCAATTTTTTTAAAAGATACCAGAGTTTAACCAGGATTTTGTTATGTGGTAAGATTCCAAGTTCGAATACTAATTTTCTTCTTGGCACTAATCACATTTCCAAATTATCCACTTTTTTTGAAGAGAACAATTTACTTGAAGAGAGAGGGAGAGAGAGAGATTCAAAAGAACAAATGTTAGTTACTGCTCCTGCGGGTTGGTTTGTTCACTGTGTCTTTGGAATACCCGCATCTTAACCCAAGGGTCTGTGGTGGGAGTTATCCGACAAAAAGTGTGGTTATTGACTTTTTAGACATCTGATGGGTTCTCAGCAGACCACCGTCAGTGCTTTTAGAACCCAAATAATGAGTCTGTGTAATCAAAATATCTTGAGGTGGGAGAGATAAACCACAGAGCTTATATGCATGTGTGCATGAACAATGGACATGGACAACAAAGCTGGGGACAGGGCGGGGAGGGGGAGGGGGGAATCAGTGGGGGGAAAAGGAGAAACATCTGTAACAAAAATAAATTAATTTATTAAAAAAATATCTTGAGAAAGATCTGTGATTCAAAGAACACCTTCTTCTGTTGCATAAAGGTGCTCTATTGTTTGGGAGGGGAAATAAACCAAGCAGAGATACCTCCAAGGAATGTACATTTTCCAAGCATAAATACAAAAAGAAACAGATATCGGATCCTACCATTAAGGTCTCCCTTTTCATTCTCCATTTTTTAAGCAAGTTCTTGCAGAGTAAGGCCCAAGTCTGTCGACACACACTGATCTCTCTCTTATTCATGTTGCCTGTTGAATAATAAAAAAGAGGGAGAAGGTCAAGTCAGCGCGAAGGTCCTAACGCGAAGAAACACCCGGCAGACACAGAGACGAGGGAGTCCAGTGCTCGGGATGCGTGCCTGGCATCTGACTGCTCCGAAGTCAGCGCTGTATCGCCGGGACCTGCTCCCCCCTCACCCACTCTTCCCCCATCGTTTTATTGTTTTGGTTGTTGGTCACACTCCGTGCCCCTTGTCAATTAATTGCCTCTCAGCTCCGAATGCTCGCTCACAGCCCTGCTCTAGGAAAACGGACCTGGGCTCTTTAGATGTTGTTCTTTGTAGGAAGAAGAGCATTTCTTCCTGCTATCAGCCCCACTGCTCGGACTGAACATCTTCTCCAGTGCAAAGGGCCAGGGCAGAGCAGGCTTCACTGTGTGTTTTCTCTCACTCCTGAGTCTGGGAGCCCTGCTGTGACCCGTAGCCCCAGAACGCTGGCGCCTTCTCCCCAGAGCTCTGTTTCCTGCTGCTCCCCTGTTGCAAAGACAGCGCCCCCCAGTCTCTGCGCCTGTAGCTCGTCCATCAGGCTCCTCTGCCGTTCGGAGGACTGAAACCACACCTCATCCAAGCACACCTATTCAATGCCTTATCTCTCCACGTGGTACCCATAAAAATGATGGGGGCGAGACGAGGGACCTGGGAGACCCCCTCAGTGGCTCTCAGGCTACAAACCTGCCTTTTCTCAGAACATTTTCTCCTAAAAGGCAGAGCGATAAGCCCCTTAGAGAGGAACAGGGGTCCCAGTCAGCCCCACGCAAACACCTGCTGTAGCATCTTGGGATGAAGCAGTAGAGAGCAGCCACCCGGCTTGGGGGATCTGTGAACACCCCACCCCTACCTCTACTTCTGTTCTCAGAACATTTATAGTGCTGCTAAGGAACATGCGCACGGCCAGCTCCCCTGAACCAGAGGAAAGAAACTTCCTTCCCCTTCACATGACTCTTGTGCTGTGTAAGATGCACCAGCCACGTGTCACTGAGGGTGGGATGGAGACCCCCCTGTCCCCATTCCTAAGCAAGAGAAGTCGCCAGGGAGGTTTGCTGGGGATGGGAGAGGACACTCTCACATGCCCAAGACCTCCCAACATCTGCAACATAAATCAGAACATAGGCCGCAGAACAAGTCTGAGAAAATGTAAGGAGACTGAAATTATACTAAGCACCCTTTTTGGCCATAGTGGTGCGAAACTAGAAATCAACAACGAGAGGAAAGCTGGAAAATTTACGAATACGTGGAAACTACACATCATGCTTCTGAACAACCACGGGGTCAAAGAAGACCTCAAAAGGGAAGTCAAAAGAGGTCTTGAAACAAGTGAAAAGGCACAACGACACCAAAACCTAGGGGATGTGGAAAAGCATGTCTAAAAGGGAAGTTCACTGTGATGAATGTAGGTGTGGCTCAGTGGTGGGGCATCGACCCCTGCACCAAGAGGTCACCAGTGTGATTCCCGGTCAGGGCACATGCCCAGGTGGTGGGCCCGATCTCCAGTGGGGGGCGTGCAGGAGGCGGCCAATCGATGTTCTCGCTCATCAATGTTTCTCTCTCTCTCCCTCTCCCTTCCTCTTTCTCTAAAATCAATAAAGAAAAAAACTTTTTAATATTAAAATAAAAGAAAAATCCTCAAATAAGTAGCCTAACTTTATACCTCAAGAAACTAGAAAAGTACAAAATAAGCCCAAAGTTAGCAGAAGAAAGGAAAGAACAAAGATCAGGGCTGAAATTAGTGAAATGGAGACCAGAAAACAATAAAAAATATCGAGAAAACTAAGAGCTATTTTTTTTTCTTTTTAATCCTCACCTGAGGACACCCTTCTGCATTTATCTTCAGATAGAGTGGGAGGGAGAGAGGGAGGAAGAGAGAGAGAAACATCGACGTGAGAGAGACACATCGAGTGGTTGCCACCCACATGACCCCAACCAGGGCCAGGGACAAACTGCAACCAAGGTACATGCCCTTAGCAGGAACCGAACCTGGACTCTCCGGTCTGCAGTCCGACACTCTAACCGCTGAGCCAAACCGGCCAGGGCCTAAGAGCTATTTTTTAAAAGATAAACAAAATTGACAAACTTTTAACTAGACCAAGAAAAAAAAAAAAAGAGAAAAGACACAAATACATAAAGTCAGAAATGAAAGAGGAGACATCATAATTGATATCAGAAATATATAAGATCATAAGGGACTATTATGAACAAACATATGCCAACAAATTGAACAACCTGGAAGAAATAGATACAACTTGCCAAGACTGAATTATGAAAACACAGAAAATAGAAACAGAACAATAAAGAGTAAGGCGACAATCAATAATCAAAAGCTTCCCAGCAAAGAGAACCCCAGCACAAGGTGGGTTCACTGGTGAATTCTACCAAACACTTAAAAAAGAATGAATGCCAATTCTTCTCAAACTCTTCCCCAAAATTCAAGTGGCAGGAACGTTCCCAAACTTATTCTCCACGCCCAGCTTTACCCTCATGCCGAAGCCAGACAATGACACATTCCTAAAAAGAGAAAACCACAGACTAATATCCCTGATGGATATAGGTGCAAAAATTCTCAACAAAATATTAGCAAACTGAATTCAATTTACCTCTGAGATGTGAGGGTGGTTCATGATAAAAACCCTCAAAAATTAGGTGTAGCCTTGGCTGGTTTGGCTCAGCAGTTAGAGCGTCGGCCTGCGGTCCAGAGAGACCCGGGTTCGGTTCCCGTTAAGAGCATGTACCTCGGTTGCAGTTTGTCCCCAGCCCTGTTTGGGTCATGCAGGTGGCAGCCACTCGATGTGTCTCTTTCACATCGATGTTTATCTCTCTCTCTCTCTCTTCCTCTCTCTCCCTCCCACTCTATCTGAACAAGAAATGGAAAAAATGTCCTCGGGTGAGGATAAAAAAAAAAAACTGGGTGTAGAAGAAACACACATGGACACAATAAGGACCATACACAACTAGCCCACAGCTACCATAAGGCAGAGGGCTTTTCCTCTACGATCAGAAACAAGCCCAGGGCCCTGGCCGGTTTGGCTCAGCGGTTAGAGCGCCAGCCTGCGGCCCGGAGAGACCCGGGTTCGGTTCCCGCTAAGGGCATATACCTTGGTTGCAGTTTGTCCCCGGCCCTGGTTGTTCGTGCGGGTGGCAGCCACTCGATGTGTCCCTTTCGCATCGATGTTTCTCTCTCTCTGTCTTCCGCTCTCTCCCTCCCACTCTGTCTGTACAAAAAATGGAAAAATGTCCTCGGTTGAGGATAAAAAAAAAAAAAAAAAAAAAAGAAACAAGCCCAGGGTGCCCAATTCTCAGTGCTCTAATTCAACACAGTGGCTCCAATTCATCACCTCTACTTGTGTCTGCACCCTTTGTCTGGTAACCTAGGAGCTCCTTCCATAAAGGTGGACTCTAACTTTGACCAATAGAAAGAGGTGGGAGGGAGGCTGTCCCGTTTCTGAGCGTAGACCGGACAAGGTTTTGAGTGTGTCCCCTTGCTCCTGGGGCTCTGCCTTTGCCCTGAGAGCGGATCTGGACCCTAGGGGATGAAAGGCACGTGAGTGAGCTGAGTCATACATGAGTGAGCTGAGTCATGCCAGTCATCCCAGCATAGAGGAGTCCAGTCCACATCAGACAACGGCCCGCCAAGCCTCAGGGAGGTGGGCAAGCCTATCCAAGACCAGCAGAACCTCTTAAGAATCACCCCAGATTGCTCTGGCTGGTGTAGCTCAATGGTTGCAGCATCGGCCCACACAATGAAAGGTAAGAGGTTCAATTCTGGTCAAGGGCATGCACCTGGGTTGCAAGTTTGATCCCTGGCCCTGGTTGGGGCACATGCAGGAGGCAACCAATTGATGTGTCTCTCTCACATCAGTGTTTCTCTCTCTCTCTCTCCTCCCCCTCCTTCCCACTCTCTCTTTAAAAAAAAAAAAAAATTCCTCGGGTGAGGATTAACAACAGAAAAGAATTACCCCAGGCATCCTAGCTATAGTTGCTTGCTATTTGCTGCTTTTTTTTTTTTTTTTTTTGCCATACACCATAAAGGCAGCAATTGACCACAGATATATTACTTAGGATTATCTGTTTAGCTTCTATGATATTGATGTTTCTTTGGTCTTAGTGACTTTTTATTTTTAAAGTCGTAATCATGTTGTGGTCAGAGGATCTACTACACCGTGAGATACTATTTCTTTGAAATTCCTTGAGACATCCAGGATGGTGCCTCCTATTTTTAATGTTTGGAAGTATTCCACGTGTACTTGAAGTAAATGTACATGACCTTTTAGCGTGTTTTATAGATCCCTGTTCAACCTTTTGAATTTTGTTCTTCAAATCTTCAGCATCCTTTTTTATGTTATATTGATGAAATTAATCATTTCATGACAGAATTCCGTTCTGATATAGGTTTGCCAATTTCTTATTCTATCCCTGTCAGTTTTTGGTTTGTGCATTTAAAGTCTAAGTAGTTAGGTGAATAAAACATTGCTTTATTACTCAGGCTTTATTGGCCTGTTGCTTCTATTTCTTTTCTTTTTTAAATCCTCACTGAGGATATTTTTTCAATTGATTTTTTTAGATAGTGTGGAAGGGAATGAGGAAGAAAGAGAGAGAGAAAGAAACATCAATGTGAGAGAGACACATTGGTTGCCTCCCGTGTGACCCCAACCGGGCCAAGGATTGAACCCACAACCAATATATGTGCCTTTGACTGGGAATCAAACCTGTGACTCTTTGGTCTGCAGGCCAACACTCTAACGACTTAAATTTATATATAAAATATATATATATATATAAAATATATATAATATATTTATATCAAGAGATATAGATAGATATTTAATCCTCACCTAGGATATTTTTCTATTTATTTTCAGATAGAGTGGGCCAGGGACCAATCCACAACCAAGGTACATGCCCTTGACTAGAATCGAACCCACACTCTTTGGTCCATTGGCCAATGCTCCAACCACTGAGCCAAACTGGCCAGGGCTAGATACTATATTTTTAAGAGGTAAATTTAATCATGTATAAATTCTTCTTTGAAAGGATCACTCACTGTGCTTTATTCTCATGTTAAACCTACTTTTTCTTTGCTTCTAGTTTTGTCCACATTCTTACCTTTGGTTGGACTCCATCAAGTTTTCTTCCCCTCTATGTTTTCTTTATTATCCCAAAGATTTAAAAAATACTTCTATTCCTTTAAAGGTTACTTTTAAATTTTGGACTTTCCTAAGGAATGGTCTTTTTTAAAAAAAATTATCTTTATTATTGAAAGTATTACCAATGCCCCCCCTTCCACCCCCATTGACCCCCTCTTCCGTGCTCCACCCCTCCCCCCTCCTCCCACCATCACTGCACTGTTGTCTGTGTCCATTGGTTGTGCATATGTGCATATACATTCTTTGGTTTATCTCTTCCCTCTGACGTCCACCCCTTCATAAAAACCAAGAGTTTCTAGATACCTTACCTCTGCTGAATTCTAACCTGAGCATTCTAGTTATTCCTGAAATTTGGCCCAAACTTTCATTTGAAGTACACATAAATTTGATCTGTTTTTACCATGTATATAGTTAACTAGATTTGCTGATAGATTATACAGTTTCCAATAAGGAGGATGTCATGCATTTGAGCTTGGGCGTGAGATGGAGGGTAGAAATTCCACCCCATTGGGCTTGGATGGGCTTTACCTGGATGGAAAACTCAGGGCCCCTTGACTTGTGTGTGGGCTAGTTCATCGTGAAAACATTCCACGCAATCTATCTAAACTGTCTGCAGAGAGCAGCGTTATCCCTCCGTGGATGTTGCACCAGGGCTACAGCAGTGGACCACGCCCCTCCCCCTGGTAAAAGCAGCAAGTCACAGTCTTAGCATCTCAACCATGAGCAGAGTACAGGGCATCCTAGCAAGTGTCGACAGGGTGTCCGTAGATTCTGTTGCATTGGAAATGAAATGTATCTTAATAAGCACTGGCTTGATAGTTATTCAAAGTTGTATATACATTTTGGGGGACTATATATATGCATGTGTGTGTGTGTGTGTGTGTGTGTGTTGGAGGAGTTGTGGTGGTGAGGATTAGGTAGGGGAATTTATACATATACATATTTTTTATAGCAGGGACCCAGAATCCTCTCAGAAGGAGTCGCCTCGGTGCATAACAATAATACTGAGCCTTTCCCTGGTCACCCAGTATTACTCACTATGGTCTGCTGGCCTGTCCTGAGACCCGTGGGACTTGAATGCCCACAAATGTTTTCCCTGCAGGAGGAAACTGCAGCTAAGCTGACCTGCAGAAAGCAGACAGTTGGGAATAACCCGTGTTCTGGGAAGCATGCGGGTGAGTTGGAAGAAGGGCTCAGGACTTGAGCACAGAGCAGCGTCTCTACCCTGAATCAGGCTCTTAAGTCCCAAAGCAGGAGTGTGCGGTCTCCACCCTCTGTGTGGACACCATGTTGGCAAGGGACGCACCACAGGGCTGTCATAAACTCCTCCATCATGAGAATGAGTGGGTGTGCCCTGCCTGAAACTCTCATTCCATTCATGGGACAAGATGTCACGCAGGGCTGTGCTATTTCCTAGAGATGAAGCTCAAGGAAGGGGTCCAGGGGCAGACCCAGTGGGAGCACAGTGGCCAGGACCCCGCAGAGCGCCCTGCGGGGGAGCCTGCCCGGGGAGAGGCCGAGCGAGGGCTTAGACAGCGTGGAGAGAGAGCTGGAGGGAGGCAGAGAGGCCAGGAAGGCAGCATGGGCAGGGTGTCCAGGGAGGGGGGGCTGAGGATCCCCACAGATTGTGTCTAGTACAGAGAATTCAGGGTCGTCACTTTGCAAGGAGCCGTGCAGGGCTGTGCCGCTGGGTACACTGGCCGAGAGGGTGAGCTCCTCGCTGTGGAATCGGCCGGGGCCCAGCGAAGCATGAAACGTCCGTCTGGCTCCAACCCTCCGACTCCCCACTGTAAATTAGCATCGCCTACTGTATTTCCCCGGTCACACCTGCTCTACAGTTCCTCCGCAGGCTGACAACACGGACTCCTTTTTATACCCATGGTCGGCAGTTCCCACTGCGGTGGCTGGGACTTTTCTCGTGTCGTATGGCTGCTACGTTCAGAACAGAATGTTTACACTGTGGGATCATGAAGAGTTCTGTTTACTGCAGAAGAATGAGTATCTGAACCAATATTGTGATGAGGAAAAGCTACACATTTCACAATCAGACTCAATACATGGTGTGCAGAGAGCAAAAAGTCCAGTTTGAAAAGTCTGAGAGCCGAGAGTAAGAGGCAGGACAGATAAACGTGCAGGGTGGGCAGGGGCAGGCTCCCCGTTGTTCGTATGGAATATGATGCCATCATTAATAAATGACAATAAGACAAGAATAAACGCTGTGTTTCATGTATTCACAACTGTAAACTTACTTTTGCCCACCCCTGTATTTCCGTACATGTTTTTCGTAAACAGTCTCAAAGTCAGAAAAATAGTTCATGCAGAATGCCCCAAGTAATTGTGCAATGACAGTAAAGACCTTCGAAACAATCCCGGTTTATATATGAAGTCTCAATATTCTTAGTTCTTCACAATCTATGAGCAAATTTCAGGCTATTCCTACACTCAGTTTCTAGCTAAAAACTATGTAGTTCTTTTTTAAACGTATGTTTTAGCTCAGTGCTTTCCTCTGTACAATTTTAAATACCAGATGTCCAAACACATCCAAATAGTCCATTAATTTTCAAAAAAGTTTCTCCGCAGATGGTTGGCATTCAATTCCAAAAGACTTGTTTATAATTTTGTAGTGGAAGGAAGGAAGGAAGGAAGGAAGGAAGGAAGGAAGGAAGGAAGGAAGGAAGGGAGGGAGGGAGGGAGGGAGGGAGGGGGGAAGGGAGGGAGGGAGGGAGGGAGAAAGAAAGAAAGAAAGAAAGAAAGAAAGAAAGAAAGAAAGAAAGAGAGAAAGAGAGAAAGAGAGAAAGAGAGAAAGAGAGAGAGAGAGAGAAACCCTTTCCCCAAACCAAACAGGAAAAGACAATGAACTTACCTTGAAGCAATTTGCCTCAGGTAACCTAGAAACACATGTTGTCCACCGGGCTTCTTTAGCAGAAGGAAACGAGCTACCGTTTTCCCTGGTCGCTAGTGCATCTCCAGCTTTTGCTTGAACTGTTTGGCTTTTGTGGAAAGTTCCTGCGAGGACTATTTTCAGAAGAGGTTATGATCACAATCCTGCTGGCCCTGCCCCAAACCCCAGTCACATGATTGCCCTCAGATTAGCTGTCTCTCTCTCTCTTTTTAAATGAACTACTTATATTTATTTATGAATCTAGGAGTCAAAACCCTTTATCTTTATTCTCATTGTTTCAGTTGTGCTCATAGAAGCATGAGAGTTTCAGGATAAACATATTTTTACCAAGGAGCAGACCAAAGAAAAAGTTAAAAAGTTTTAAAAGTCTATTTTCCCCACAGAGTATCCTACTTAGAAATTGATACTGTCTCACAGGTAACATTCCTTTCACATGCTCAAAAAGCAACAATTTTCTGGAACTATGTTAACCGGCCTCAGTCTTGGAGAGCAATCTCTAGACCATTCTAATTACACAATAACACCTTTGTCCCGATCTCGGTCAGCGACGGACACAGGGAAGAGCCAGAAAGCGTGTCTCTCTTTGAGCTCTGCTTACCACACCAAGATCTCATGAAGGATTTTGAACAAAACCAAAAATACAGCGCATTAATTAGTTAAATCTGCAATCACTTTGAGATAGAGATGGCATCATGGAAACAGTTAACTAAAAACCAAACTGTTTCAGACTTGCACAGAGATTGAAAGCAGTGATTTCTTCTACAATTAGGACTTTATGTTCATTCCCAGCCAGAGTGCCTCAGTTGGCTGAGTGTTGTACTGTGCACCAAAATGTTGTGGTTCGGGTTCAATTCCCAGTCAGGGCCAAGACCTTAGTTGTGAGTCTGATCCCCAGTCAGGGCACATATGGAAGGCAACCGATCAATGTTTCTCCCTCTCCCCTCCCCCTCCCTCTCCCTCCCCCTTCCACTCCTCCTCCCTCTCCCTCTCCCCTCCCCCCTCCCTCTCCCCTCCCCCTCCCTCCCCCTCTCTCCCTTTCTCCCCTCTCCCTCTCCCTCTTCCTCTCTCTCCCCTCTCCCTCTCCCTCTCTCTCTCTCCCTCCTTTCCTCTCTCTCTAAAATCAATAAACATATCCTCAGGTGAGGATTTTTTTTAAAAAGGTAGTTGAGTCTTATAGTTGATCAGAGGAATGAAAGCCAATAGTCTCTTTATTTCCCCTTTTCAGTATCACCTAAACTCTTTGCAATCCCCTGCTGATTGTCTAACTCCAAAGCATTTCTCTGTGTTTCAAAGTGTGCTCGTTTAGTGGTGGTGTACAGCACCTACCCAACAACTTGCAGGGCAAAAGACGAGCACTTGGGGAAAGTTCAATGGAAAGTTTAGCCTCTGCCTAACTTGCCAATTAGAAAACACAATGAACTCAGTAAAGTTGAACTTAATCTCTCGAGTGTATTCACACGTACATTGGATAAAATGTGTTTCTAGGTTACCTGCTTCAAATTTCTCCAAGGTAAGTTCATTGTCTTTTTCTGTTTTGTTTAGGGAGAGGGTTTCTTTCTTTCTCTCCCTTCCTTCCTTCCTTCCTTCCTTCCTTCCTTCCTTCCTTCCTTCCTTCCTTCCTTCCTTCCTTCCTTCCTTCCTTCTCTCTCTCTCTTTCTTCTACCACAAAATTATAAATAAGTCCTTTGGAATTGAATGCCGAGCATCTGTTGGTATTTTGAGTGAGAGTGTGGGTATGCAGCCCTTTCGTTTAGTTTCAGAGGACTTCTTTGAGTCTGATCGGAGTTGTGAAAATGGGAAAGTCTCCTCCCATGCCTAAATTACCTGTCTATCCATAACTTCCAGCCCCTCATGTTGTAAACATGAGTCATTTGGTCACTGACCTGCAGGGTAAGATTTATCTAGAAACGACTGTCAAGACAAGGTTGTTGAGTAACCAGAGATAAAAGGTATACTTGTCTTCTCATTGACAGTTAGCCAGTTCGTGGCAGGTACACTTGGCATCATATTGTAAAGAGCAACCTTATGGAGAAAATCCAATATTCATAAGTTTTTTTCTATTACATCCGAGATGGTTGTGGCTCATGCCAAAAATGTTAAGCACTGTCTTTAACCGTAAGAACAGGAAGCGTTTCATCCAAGGGAAGCTCCTGTCCACAGAGCTCTCCACTGCCTGATTGATAGCATCACTTGGGAAATCAGGGTTTTCATCCTCTGTTTCTCATTTTCATTCAGTTCCAAATATTTTCTAATCTCCCTCAAGACTTACTCTTTGACCCATGAATTATTTCAAAATACGTTGTTTCATTTCTAAGTCTCTGGGGATTTTCTTGTTATCTTTTGGCTATTGATTTCTAGTTCGAAACTATTATGGTCAGAAAATTTATTTCATATGTCAGATTGGTTAGGGCTTGTCTTGTAGCCCAAGAGAGAATCTGTCTTGGTGAATATTCTAAGTGAAAAGAGATATATTCTGCTTTTGAGTGAGTGGAGTGTTATATAAACATCTATTAGATCTAGCTGGCTGATGTTCAGTTTTTCTGTTTTTGTTTTTCCGTCTACTAGTTCTGTTGATTACTGAGAGAGGTAGTGATGATTTTAACAAAAATTAGAGACTTTCCTTTTTCCCTTTGTATATAACAGATTTTGCCTCATGTAAGAGGAAGCCGTAGTCCTGGGTGCATACGTGTTTAGGATTGCTGTGTCTTCTTATCATCACGTAATGTGCGTGTCCAGCCCCGGTAACTTTCTGTGCTCTGGAGTCTACTTTGTCTAGTGTTACTATGTCATTCCCTCTATCTGTGATCAGCTGACCAGATATCCTCTATCATCTCAATATTCTTTGCATAATTAAATTTTCATGGAGCGCATTAATCAGAACACGCTACAATTCATTTGCTTAGATTTTTTGTTTTCTCGCGCATAAATGATTTACAGATGATAGAGCCTCTTGGTTCTTTGTACTGTGCCCTTTTGCAAATATCCACAGACCCATAAACCTCAAATAGAAGCTTGCTGGGTGCTTCTGTTTGGGCTGGATGTAGCAGATCGTGTCAGATCAATGCTTCTGCCACGGCAGCTACAAAAATCCACACCATTGTAGTACAGAAAGAAATTAGTCCACTTAGATTTCTAGTAAAGTAACTATCCACCAAAAATGAAGACAAAATAAACACTTTGCAGAAAAACAAAAATAGCTGAGAGATTTTGGCACACTGTAAAAAAAAAAAAAAAAAAAGTCAAGAATACATAATGTCAATCCTAGAGTAGCCACTAATAAATAATTAAATAAACAAACTAATAAATACATAAATAAATTTAATATGCCAGCAGTATAAAGTGGAATACTAAACTTATAAAATGGTACCTCTAATCCAACCATTTCAATAATTACACGAAACACAAATAATCAAAACATCCAACTGAAAGGGAGATTCCCAGACTTAATTTACAAAGTGTGACATAAATATATGCTGTCAACAAAAAAGGAAAGCCCACCCTGGCCAGGGCTTAGTTTGCTAGAGCATCATCCCAATATGCCAAGGTTATGGATTCAATGTCCGATCAGGGCACGTAGAAGAATAAACCAATGAATGCATAAATAAGTGGAACAATAAATCTCTCTCTCTCTCTCTCTCCCCGTCTCTCAAATCAATCAATAAATAAAAATTAAGAAAAAAGAAAGCCTACTTTAAACTTAAAGACCCAAAGATGAAAATTACAATGATGGGAAAATATATACCTTAGAAAGAGGAAAGCTGAAGTGTCTATATTAATACGATACATGCCAGGACAAGAATTGTTTCCAGAGATAGAGAGAGAGATTCCCTAATAAAATAGCAGTTAATTCATCAAAAGACATGAAAAACCTAAATGTATCCGAAACTAATAGAAGATTAGTTCTTGAAAATTTTCATTCTTGAAAATTCATGAATGAAATACAGAACTGAAAAGGCCAGTTACTGAGTCCACGGTTATAGTTGGAGATTTCAACATTTATATCTCAATGATTGATAAAATCACTAGATAAAAAGTCAGTAGCTGGATAGATTTGAACAACACAACCAAGCTACTTGAACTAATTGGACACTCCAGGCCAAAAAAACCCACAAAAAAACAAACAAAAACAACACCTCCATACAAAAAAAGTTTGTTTGTTTTTTACCAATACACATGGACAACTGGTTGAACCTCCAGCCCTCCTCTCCTGGTGATGAAGGGCTGGGACTAAGAGTCCCAACCCTTTGATCGCATGGTAGATTCTCTTGGCAACCAGCTCCCATCTGGAGGTTTTGGTCCTAAAGTCACCTCATTAACATAACAAAAGACCCCTTTACAGATTTTATCACTTAAGGATTTCAAGAATTTAAGAGCTCTGTGCCAACCACTTGGTGTATCTCTCTCACATCGATGTTTCTCTCTCTCCCCCGCCCCACTCTATCTGAAGATAAATGCAAAAATGTCCTTGAGTGAGGATTAGAAAAAGTTCTCTCTCGTTGATGAAGTTTCTATCTCGTTGATGAAGTTTCTATCTCTCTCTTCTTCTCCCTCTCTAAAATCAATAAATGAAAAAATTAAAAAAATAAAGAGCTCTGTCCAGAAACAGGGATACAGCCAAATATAAATTTCTCATTATTAGATTACAGTATCACAAACAACAACACAAAATATCTCCCAGAAGGAGAAGCTTCAGTGTCCAGTCGAATATCACATCTTTCCACAGCCTCAATCAACAAATCCCATGCAAATATGATTCTCTGGACCCCTCCTGCAAACTGGAAAATGTAAGTATTCAAAAAAGGTCTTAATTGCATAAGAAGATAGAATTTCTCATCTGAATTACCAAACGTAGTTATTTTAGAAGGAGTATACATTTTCTGGAAAGCATGCCAGGGACATGGCTTGCATAAATGGGTCAGGGCTTTTAAGCACAAAACCAGAAGCTCCATTCTGGCCTTGTAACTCAAACCCAGGTTCAGCTGCCTTCCACCTTGAAAGCCAAACTCCTAGCAAAAGAAACAATCATCAAAATGGAAAGGCAACCCACTGTATGGGAGAACATCATTGCCAATGATGTATCAGATAAGGGGTTAATTTCCAATATA